ATACCCCTTTTGAAGACTACCAAGTAAGAAATGGATACTTCCAATTATTTACTACGATATTATATAATCCTATTGGATAGTACAAAGTTTGTTTTTGAGCGATTGGTGCAACATCCGATTTAAATAAAGATCACAAAATCTTTTAAAAATCTTATCAAATTGTGAACTTTTTTTTTAGTTTTCAACCGCTTATAGTTAAAGAAATTTATTCTTATAAGCGATACTAAAAATAACTTTTTTAAGACTTTTAAGTAAAAATACAAAGTATTTCCAAGTATTTCCTACGATATTATATAATCCTATTGGATGGTACAAAGTTTGTTTCTGAGTGATTGGTGTAGTTATTTTAATTGACTTCTAGGCCAGGCTAGAGACGTGCTAATTAATGGGCCTCTGGCGAGTAAGGGAACTGAGAACCAAACCGAGTCGAACCGACCAGAACATGAACTATTAACTTGTCTAATGGAAAAGCTTCTCGAGTGCCCAAGTGCCAAGTGCGATGATGTGACTCAGGGCAGGTGCTCACGATTAGATTTAACTTACCCTACTCCAAACAACCAACCAACCTACCTACCTACCTGCACTTGGAGCTTCTCATCGTCGCTTTTTCGAAATGGAATTGGATTTGTCCCCGGGAACAATGTGCCGCGGCCATTAACCAGTATATCAGCAATGGCATCGCACACTACAGTAGTTATCGCCTGCGAATAGTTGGTAAATCAGTAATCAGAAGTTGTATATTGCGATTACTGGGATATATATGAAGAAAGTAATGCTCAATTTCTATATCAATAAAAAATAATTGAAGGGAAATTGCTACTACATTATTACTGATTACTGTTTTCGGTCAACAACTCTATTATTTTCGTTGGCACTTTCGATTTTTCCCATAACCCATATATCCACTGTATTCGATTTTTTTGTGCACTGCCCTGCAATCGCTGGAGCGTTGCATTCATTTTCATTTTCTCGCAGTTAGTTGCGAAAATAACAAAAAAAGAAAACAAACAAACAAAGGTGAAGCAAATTAAAAGGCACCTTATAGATGTACTATTGTTAAAATTATTGCACCGAGCCAGACAGACGGTCCGATTTTTTGTATTTGTTTATATAAGAGCGGACCGGTTATCGCCAGCGATCCAAGTTCATTACGCCCCCAACAACAAAGGTCCGGGTTATCTGAGGCTGAGTTTGATTCTGATTCTGATTCTGCTTCTGATTCCGAGAATGGGTCTCTCCGGAATTGCGGTTGAAGCACCTCCTTCTCATCCGGCCGAATGATTCATTCACCAGGGAGTCACTGAATCACGGAATCTGGAATCTGGAATCTCGATCGCTGAGCAGCCGGTGATAAGAGCCCCGGGAGTCATTGGCATCGGTTTACGGGTATACGAGTATTGGGTATATGGGTTTGGTTTTGTCACGCCTTAGCCATTCGGGGATTGGGATCTCTTGTCTCACCACTTGTGGCTGAATCGAAATCAGAATCAGACCGTTCTGACGTACGAACCTGGGTAGCTAGGATTTCGCAATTGTCGAAGGCCGCCGCTTATCTTCAGTGGATTGTAAATAGTGTACTCGTACGCGGGTCCGAATACCACATGCTCCGGGTGAAGAGTTTCTTATCAGAGATTCTTAAGTGCCGCAATAGCCGGGCCAAATACAGTATTAATTGGTTAAGGTGGAGCCAGGAAAAAAAACTACAAACTACTAAAATAATTCTAAAGAATTTCTATAATACTAAGTAGTTGAGGATTTATTTATAAAGTTAGATAAAGTATTTATTCAAGAACTTGAATGTGTAAACAAGATAATTAAAGCTAATCACTGGATGAGCATTATTCAAAACCAGGGTGACTGTTCAGCGATACCCAGTACTTACTGTGACCACTCGAAATCGGGGTTCGAGTAATTTTAGATCGACTCACATGAGCATGCGCTATTCCAAGAATCACAAATAAAATATAGAAGCAGCAGTAATCCAGAAACTCGAGCGATTGGTAAACATTCCATGGTGTTAGCCAGTCCTCGATATGTTTTTTTTTTTCTGTTATCACCACCCAACCTACAAAAGTTACTGGGTTCCCGAGTTCCGATTTCTGATTTCCGTTGGTCCCCTCCCTTCAATTAAACAGATGTGTGTGGATAAATCGATATGGGGCGTGTGTAATCTTTATGTGCCCACCCTTGGAATTGGAAAACGCCCCAGAACGGTGGACACTCCCGTTCCGTCGTTGTCCCGTGGGATTCGAAAATCAATGGAAAATTTCGCTGGCATTCTCTGCTCCTCTGGTCAGCGATTTTCCTTAGTTAGTCTCAATTCCGACCCCATGAATCACATAAAGTTCCGACTCATTGTCAATTCCCTTTTGTTCAACTTCCTCGCACAGTATTCGTCACTTCCCTTGCCTCTGTGGGCATATTCTTTATGGGGCGTTGATTACAGAACCCCTATACTATGCATTGTATAATATTTATGAATTTGATTTCTCTTCTTTTGATTGTTTTCTTAAGTTGTAGATGGCGCAATATATTGGTTAATTTATAATTTGATTAGATAACGAATACTTTATTACCCAACATTTAATTAATTTATGACTATCCGATCTCAGTTTACAGATCTTAAATATTATTAAACGAAGAGTATTTACTTTACCCAAAAAGCAAGTGAATCATGAATGGCACAACGAATACTGCACTTTGTCCAATGATTGATGATCGAGCTCTTATCGCTAATTCGATTTTCAGCTCTCTCAAATGCACTCGAAAGTGCCATTCAAAGGCTGATTTAATCTAAACATTTCCTGGTATCCCCATTTGCTCGCTCATTTTTTCCTTCCTTTTTTTTTCAAAATACTTCTAATCATATCACGATTAGTCATTATGAAAAGAGCAGGCAGCCAGCAGCCATCAGCCATCGGGCAGCGACAAATGGAAACATTTGCAAGCATTCATATCATTCGGATATCGATGGTCACTTATGCGTACACATATTTATTTATGACGGTTTAAATACGTATGTACACTCAAAATAAAATTAACCCTAAAGTCAAGGAAATCGCCCTACTTTTGTCTTCAAGACAAGCTCGCCCTAAATTTTAGGGTCACATTTTTCTATATTTTTGATTTTTTTTGACGTCATATTTCTAAATTTTAGGGTAATTTTACTAAATTTAAGGGCAAAAATTTCTAAAAATTAGGAAATTTTCCTAAAAAATAGAAATTAAAAGCAAAACAAAAAAACATGTTCAATCATGATTTTTTTTTGTATATACGTTTATATTATGTACTCCTCCCTATATACATATGCAGGCGTTGTGTGTCATGTATATTGTGAATGTTAAAGGTTATGTATTTATTATTATGTATTTGCGCTGGGATTTCTTATCTAACCAAAGCCAAATGTGGTTGTAAATGTAGACTACGGGACTGCGGAAGATTGGGAATGTAGAAATTATGATTAGTTAATATTTTATATTCATGAAAAAAACTTACAATTTTTACTTGTCCGTCGTGAGAATCGAACCCGGGTCTCCCGCGCGAGGAGCGAATGGCCTACATACTGGGCCATTGTAGCACTTAAACTTGCTGTGGCAAACCGAGCATTGTATGTAAAGGGTGAAACGGACAACACATTTGAATACTAATTGCATAATGTTGACCATTCGCGTTTTACTTATTTACATACGTATATACATATGTATATATTTATGCTAACGCAATTTATATTATGTGTAGTATATAGTAAATAGCTGAATATAAACCTAATTATTTTTAGTTTACCGCTTGCCATCAATAAAAAAAGGAATAAAAAAAGTAAAAAAATAAATAAAAAGAAAAGAAAAGAAAATAAAATAAATAAAAAAAATAAAATAACATAAAAAAAAAAGGTTAAAAAATTTTGCTCTGGGACTCGAACCCGCGTCGATTCGATTGCTAACCAAGTGCTTTAACGGTCTGCGCCACGAGTACAGCCGGCCGGCAGCTGACAAGTTCTGGCATTGAACATTTTGGTGTGCCAGAGCATGTGAAAACAAATATTTCTATTTTTTAGAAAGAATTTCTACTTTTTAGAAAATGTTTCTTTTATTTAGGGTTGGTTTCATTTTAGGGTTAGGGCACTAATTTTTAGAAAAGGTGTTGCCAAAATATTTTATTATTTTCGTTTGCCTTTCTATTTTTCAGAAAATAATTTCTAATTTTAAGGGCATTTTTTCTAGATTTTAGGGTGATTTTAGTTCATGGTAACCATTTTCTACATTTAAGAAAAACTTCCTGGATTTAAGGAAAACTTTCTTGACTTAAGAAAAATTTCCTTAGATTTAGAAATAACTTTCTTGTATTTAAAAAAAAGAAATTTTAATGGCGATTTTCTAAAATTTAGGGTTAAATTTATTTTGAGTGTAGGGCTGATCAGACGTTATCTGCGTGGCCAAACCAAAAATACTTCTCTCACCATTTCGAGGGCATCGGAAATAATGCGAATAAAAATTTAAAAAGTGTACCAATTGTAATCAAATCGTTGGCATTTGAACTCGCTCAATTGGTCCACAATTTATACGGGTTTTGTGGAGGGGAGGGTAGGGGAATATATATATATATATCTATGGAATATATGTACGATTCTGTTCGGTTATATGATCAATGGCTATGGGCCGCCAGGCACGCGATGCGATCCGATGCTCATGATTAACATCTTTCCGTGGCAGTTACAGGGAACGCCCATTCACTCGGTTCTAATTCAATCATATAACGAATAACGAAAAATGTGGCCGATGTGAAAGGTTAAAAAAATTAGGTTTTCCGCCTGGCCGGCACTAATTAATTTTTAATGCCAGATTACGAGTCACAAAACAGGGCAAAAAATGCAAATTGTGTGGCATTTTCGGTTTGTTTACGGAGTGTTGTAGGCTAGATCGGTTTTTTTTTAAATATAAAATATTCTTTTAAGATTTTAAATTTGTATATTAATATATTTTTACCTTTCGCTTAATTCGCAGAAATGTCTGACCAGGAAACAGAGCTGAGAGCCTCAAATGCAAGCAAGCCAACGCCAGCGGGAGCAACCAAGTCCAAGTTCACCGACAGCTGAAGAGGAAGCCAGGAGAGGAGGACTTATCATCGACTGGGGGTGTCTGGATCAACTTCCGTTCCGCTCTCAGCAGTAATCGCTGAGTTGAGGGCACAAACAACTTACAAGAAAACAGAGTCATTCAAGTCGCACCACTGACTCATTCGTTTGAGTCGCGAAACGAACGAACGAACGAACAAACAAACAGATAAGGATTCCGGATTACGGATTACGGATACGCCGGAGGGCGGAGCACAAGTCTACTTAAGATACTTTATTAGCACACATACAATAGCCAACCCAAAACCAAGATGAACTCCACCACAAAGCATCTGCTGCACTGCACACTGCTCATCACTGTGATAGTTACCTTCGAAGTATTCTCCGGCGGTATTAAGATCGACGAGAACTCGTTCACCCTCGTGGATCCATGGACTGAATACGGCCAAGTGGCCACGGTTCTGCTGTACTTACTCCGCTTTCTCACGCTCCTCACGCTGCCCCAGGTGCTGTTCAACTTCTGCGGCCTGGTCTTCTACAATGCCTTCCCCGAGAAGGTCGTCCTCAAGGGCAGTCCCCTGCTGGCGCCCTTCATCTGCATCCGTGTGGTGACGCGCGGTGATTTCGCCGATCTGGTCAAGACCAATGTGCTCCGGAATATGAACACGTGTCTGGATACCGGACTGGAGAACTTCCTGATCGAGGTGGTGACCGATAAGGCGGTTAATCTGGCGCAGCATCGTCGCATCCGGGAGATTGTGGTGCCCAAGGAGTACAAGACGAGAACCGGAGCGCTGTTCAAGTCGCGCGCACTGCAGTATTGCCTGGAGGACAATGTCAATGTGCTGAACGACAGCGATTGGATTGTCCACCTGGATGAGGAGACGCTGCTCACGGAGAACTCGGTGCGCGGCATCATTAACTTTGTGCTGGATGGCAAGCATCCGTTTGGCCAGGGACTGATCACGTATGCCAACGAGAACGTGGTCAACTGGCTGACCACCTTGGCGGACAGCTTTCGGGTGTCCGATGACATGGGCAAGCTGCGGCTGCAGTTCAAGCTCTTCCACAAGCCGCTCTTCAGCTGGAAGGGCAGCTATGTGGTCACCCAGGTGGGTAATTCCATGCGATTTATGGGGAAAAAATGAGTGGGCACTGGGGGAATTCTGCGAACTTCCCCAGAGGTCTTTTATCAAAAGTCTGACAGCTCCCTAAGCCCCCTAGCAAAAAGCGATATAACTCTAGCACTTAACGAGTGAATGGGAAATACTACTGTACTACATTTATTTGTAGTTTTTATTGTATAGTTTATATTTGAAACCGAAGAATAATTATTTAATTTAATTTAATTGTATAATAACCTACAAATTCAAGTCATTGTTGATCGTCAGGAATCTGCTATCAAAATACTTTAACAAAAAGCGATATAATTCTTGCCCTTAACGAGTAAATGGGAAATACTATAGTTTATATTTGAAAGAATATGTTTTCTTTTAATTGCATAATAATCTACAAATTCAAGTCATTGTTGATCATCAGAAATCTGTTATCAAAATACTTTAACAGCCCCATTATAAAAAACAGTTTAATGGCGATCAATTTCAAGAATTGTAGCCATTTAATTTAAGTTTTATGCCCACTTATACACCCCAAAGAAATCTTACTAATTGCTCTGCATTTTTTCCAGGTCGGTGCAGAGCGTTCGGTGTCCTTTGACAACGGAATCGATGGCTCCGTGGCCGAGGATTGCTTCTTCGCGATGCGGGCCTTCAGCCAGGGATACACGTTCAACTTCATCGAGGGCGAGATGTACGAGAAGTCGCCGTTCACGCTGCTGGATTTCCTGCAGCAAAGGAAGCGCTGGCTCCAGGGCATCCTGCTGGTGGTGCACTCCAAGATGATACCCTTCAAGCACAAGCTGCTGCTGGGCATCAGCGTCTACTCGTGGGTCACCATGCCGCTGTCCACGTCGAACATCATCTTCGCCGCCCTGTATCCCATTCCCTGTCCCAATCTGGTGGACTTTGTGTGCGCCTTCATTGCGGCCATCAATATCTATATGTACGTGTTTGGCGTTATCAAATCCTTCTCGCTATATCGCTTCGGATTGTTCCGATTCCTCGCCTGCGTGCTGGGTGCGGTGTGCACGATACCGGTGAACGTGGTCATCGAGAATGTGGCCGTCATTTGGGGCCTGGTGGGCAAGAAGCACAAGTTCTATGTGGTCCAGAAGGATGTGCGCGTACTGGAGACTGTCTAGGATACGGATACTTTGGAACTGCAACTGCAACGGGAGGAGGGAGTCATCAAGTCAAGTCGAGTCATGGCCATCATATCGCCCGAAACCCACAAAAAACCAAATGAAACAAAGCCTAAAACCAGAAAAAATTCGCATAATTTGGCCCGGCTTAGTGTGTTGTCCCTGATATCTGATTGATTTACTTTATTTGTACATTTTCTAAGCATAAGACTCACCACACACCTGCACAACACACCCGCACACACGCATATAATTGTTGTTTCGTTCTAAAGTCATTAACATTCATATATTATTGCCAAAAAAAAAAAGAAAAAGAAAAGCAGAAATCGGAGAATAGAAAGAACAAATGTTACAGACAACGTCTTATAGCGAGATCTATGAAAATGCACCACTCACCGGCAAACAACAATTAGGGTAATTACAAACGATCCAAGAAAACCACACACAAAACAACTCTCCATTAAGTGTAATTTCATTATATATATTTTTTTTGTATAGTCTGTAGTGAAAGAATGCGCTATATTTATCTAAACATAAATATTGTATGTATATTGTAGGCTTATTATTATTATTACGATTATTTAAAAAACGTGTACATTGATGTATTGTAAATTGATAATCTGTTAAATATCATTCACACCGAAACCAAGGATAAAAAGCGAAGCAAACTTGAGTGTTTAGACTTATGTACTTATTGATGTACTTTGTGTATTGTTAGGCTTACAGGATACACATAAAAAAACCCAGAGGATCGGGATGTGAATGATATGATCGTGATTAGTGGGAAGAGGTCCTGGATCTTCACAGGACCCCCGTCGAATTTCTCTGTTCTTTATTTTTTTTAGTAATCCGTTTTTAGTCCACTTTCCCTCGTTTCTCTTTGACATTCTGTTTAACTGTTATCGGTGCTTTGAGACCCACGCCCAACATACACCCCCCAGAAATATGGAACACGTGCATTGCAATCACCTCGTAAATCCCAAAAAGAGCGCACACACATTAAACTGTTATGAAAAAAGAACCAAATACAAAAACAATAATAAAATGTCGAAAATATAATTGCACGTCATCTTTTATTTGGAACTTTTCGGGGGTAATAGCCAGCAAGATAATAAAACGAGAAAAAAAGTTTATAAAAAATAGAGTTTATTGGAGGGTTTCTTGGTCAATATATGTTAGAACTCGAATATACCAATTTTTTTATTAATTTTGAATATTTCCTTAAAACATTTATAAAATCAATCATTTTTGTCAATATTATATCACTCTCTCAATCTTAGCTTCTTGAAATAGGTATATAGGTATTCAGGGAAGTAATGCATATAGCTATCTCTCTCGTTATCATGTATCTCCAGCACAGTACAGTCCTTCTAAAATGGTAGAAATAGTAAAGGGTGTGGAAATAAAATGATTATTAGGCCATATAAGGTCCCGTTAAAACTACCTAAATATTTAAAAACTAGGTTAAAGGGGATATATTTCTGGGCTTTGCAAGTTAAAATCAGTTCTCAGATCAGCCGAAAATGAGCTATTGGAACTATATTATAAAAAGTGGATGATTCATACAGTCTTGGATGATAAACGATAACATAAACATATTGAAAGAAGTTCAATCTGGCTCTTGGAAACAAGCTGACTTCGCTGCTCCTCTCTTTCCTTTCCACTTCCACTTCCGTTTCCGTTTCCCGATTTCCTTGAAGCTTCAAAAGAATTTCCTCTTCGGCGTGGCAAAGGCCAATCCCGACATTCTGAAAATTATAAGCAGACATCTGCATTGTGTTCTTAGGGCATCATGTAATCTTGCTAACCTTGCTAACTTGGGTCCATTGAGGTCCTCCAGTCCGTTCAGGTCGCCCAGCGGCGTGGATGGTGCCGCTGGCGGTGGTTCCATCAGCGGTCGCTTCGCCTTGCCGGGCGTTTGCGGCGTGGAGAAGTTCACGGGATTCTCCTTGGTGGCCTGGTGCTCCTCATCGTCGTCGACCTCCTCGCCCTCCGCCGAATCCCCATTGCCATCCGTGCTCGCTGGTTGCTGACCACCACCACCGTCACCCTCGCCGTTTTGCGGCGCCTGCTCCTTGGCGTTCGCGGGATTGAGGCAGTTGCTCTTGCAAACGCAGCCGTCGCAGCAACCGTGGTTGGCCACAAAGCAGCCGCATCGCTTGGTGTTGCATTTGGTCCGGCACTTGCATCCCTTGCCCCGCTTGCCATCCTCCGTGGCGGCTGTGGAGTTCAGGGACTGGATGGAAGCATTGCCGGTAGTGGTCACATTCTCGGCTAAAGTCGCATTGCGGCTGGAGTTCGCCTGAAGTTTCTGTGGAAAGCATTAGTGCGGGATTATCAATGACAGAAAATCAGGGTTCGTAAATATCCCTCAAAAACAAGCCGACTATGATAAAAATAAATAAATATCAATCACGATACAAACAAATACATATCGCTCACTGATCGAAAAATATTCATCATAAGTGAGGAAAATAAAATGATGAAAAAGTGAGGAAAAAAATATTCCTCACGAGTGATGAAATAAAGTATTTAATCGGTGGTAGACTTAACAGAAGATACAAAAGATATAACCTATATGAATTGCATTAAAGTCTAGATAATAGAAAAAAGTACTTTAATCAAATTTGGTGTTAGTAGCATTATTTTGGTTAATATTTTCCTCATTTTTTCCTCACAAAGTGTCAAAAATGAGGAAAATGTTTTGGGGAGAAAGCAGTATAGAGCTATAAGTATAAAGATATTTTACGAACCCTGCAGAAGATATATAAAACCAAGCCAGCAACTCACCTTGGCCTTCGATGTTTCCGGCAACCAGTCGGGATCGTCGCTGAGATCGCTCAGTTCGATGGTCTCGTTGACCTCCACCAGCTGGCAACTTTCATCGAGATTCTGTGGCTCGGCCTTCACAGCCTTGATCTTCGACTTCGTGCGGGCCTTCAGTGCGTCCAGCTCCTGCTGCAGTGCCTCGCGGCTGCTGAGGATCTCCTCGAGCACCTGCTGGCGCTGCTTCTCCTGCTCCGCCGGCGGTTGAATCTCAGCCGATCTCTGGTTGGCTGTCCGTATCAAAACGGCCACCTTCTCCTCGTAGGCTCGTTGCAAGGCGAGCATTTGCTCCTGATGCTCGGTCTCCACCGAACGAAGGCGCCTGCTGGCCGCCTCGCCCTGCTGCTGGGCCTCCAGGAGCTGCGTGCGCTGCTCATCCAACGCCGTGCGCTGTTCATTCAGGCTGGCCGCCTGCTGGCGTCGCTGCTGCACCAGAGTCTTGAGCAGCTGCTTGCTAACAGCGCGCGATTCGCCAATGCTCTGGACACCCTCGGCCAGGGAGCGAATCCGAGTGTCCAGGTCGGTGGGGCAGATCTTCTGCTGCAGGTCGGCGATCTGGGCATTGCGCATCTCCAGCTCCTCCTCGAGATTGGCCAGCAGGCGAGCCTGCTCCTTGGCCTCGGCCGGATCGTTGGTCTTCTCCTGCTGCAGCAGGTGATAGTGATTGTTGATCACCGCCCGGTCCTCCATGAGCTGCTCCAAACTGTGCTCCGCATCGATGAGCGAGAGTATGATCTCCAGTTCACGGTCCACCCAGCTATCGGACTTCGAGTGCGAGTTAGAGGAGGAGCCATGATCCTTGGCGTACTTCTGGCGCTGCGCCTGCGCCGAGGCCTGCCGCTCGAGGGCATCCTTCAGCCGCTTGTTGGCCGCCAAGGCCTCCTCGCACTTGCGCTTCAGCACCTGCCTTTGCTTGGAGTGCAACGTCTGCTGGCGGACAATCTCCGACTGCATCTTGCGGTCCTTGCTCTTCAGCTGGGTGAGCTCCTTTTCGCGCACCATCTTCCACTGGCGGAACTTCTCCGACTCGCCGCGCATGGCGCGTATGAGCTTCACCTTGGACTCCTTCATGGCCCGGATCTCGCCGCTCAGATTCTGGATCTTCTCGCGCTCCTTCTCGCGCATCTTCAGCATGTTGGCCTGGGTGACCAGCTTGCGGCGCAGCTCGGAGATCTCCTGCTCGAGCAGCTGCAGCCGCTTGCGTCGCTCCTCGGCTATCTTGGCCGAGGTGTCCTTGTTTTTAATGTTGCGCAGCTGGTCCATGAGGTCGCGTCGCTCAGCCTCCAGGCCATCGATCTTCTGGTTGCACGCCCGCAGCTTGGCGTCCTCGTCCTCGGACTCCAGCTTGCTGAAGTTGCGAATGATGCGCTCGTGCAGCTCCTGCTTGAGGTCCAGCTGGCGATTGATGTTGCGCAGCTCGCCGGCGAAGTTCAGCTGCTTGTTGGTAAACTCCTCGGAGTGGGCTTCATCGCCGCCGCTCGACGAACAGCTACCTGAGTCGCCGTCCCTCTCGGATTGGGAGCGACTGCTGAGCTGCTGGCGGGTCTCCTGGCCCTGCGACTCCAGCTCCTCCTGCGTGCGCTGCAGCTCATCGTCCACCAGGTCCACCAGCTGTGAGATTTCGCGCAGTTCAGCGTCTCCTTCCTTCAGATTCAGTTGCTTCTTCAGCTGCACCACATGCACGCGCAGTTTGTCGTGAGCCTGCTCGGCAATGTGCGCGCGCATCTCCTTCTCGGTGAGATCGACCAGGGAGTGATGCAGCTCCTGCTGCAGCTTCCTGTTCCTGTCCAGCAGGCTGCGCACTTGCTCCTTGAGCCGCTGATTCTCGGCCGCATTGGCCATGGACCCGGCCAGCGACTCCTCGCCGGAAAGAGAGCCCAAGCCAGCAGCTCCAACGGCGCTGGTGATGGAGCTGCTCATCTTGCCGCCCGCCAGGAGTTCCACACGCAGCTTCTGGATAATGTCCTTCAGCATGTTGACCTCCGCCGCATGCGGATCGAGATTGACCACCGGCTTGTTCTTGATCTGCAGGGCGCGATCCGCGTAGCGCAGAGTGCTCAGCGTCTCGGCCACATTGTAGTCGGCCGGGCTGACGCAGGCGATCATCAGGGTGATGGAGTTGCCGCCCAGGGAGTCCTGCAGCAGGCGCGTCAGCTTGGACTGCCGGTAGGGTATGTAGCCGGCGGCCTGGCCAGCTGGAATCGAGATATCATTAGATTTTCAACTAAATATTAATGGTAATAACCAGGGTTCGGAAAATAACACACTCTGTAAAAAAATTGTGTTATTAACATGTTAAATGTCAAAGTGTTAAGTTCAAAAAAAGTTTTTGACAAGTGTGTAAAAAATTGTAGCTGACATATGTTAAAAACATAAATAACACACACAGTTTATTTGTGTTATTTACACGACGTGTTATTAACACGACGTGTTATTAACACGACGTGTTATTAACACGACGTGTTTTTTACACAACATGTTTTTAACATTAAAACGTCAGAAATGAATGCTTTGAAACGGTTAAAAATAACAATCAAGATATCAAGATATCTAGAAAATGTAATTTTCATTTGTGTTAGAAACACAGTGTGCAAAAAACACGTCGTGTTAATAACACATTGTGTAAAAAACACAAGTGAGCTGTGTGTGTGTTAACAATTATTTTTCACATTTTAACACTTTTGTTTTTGACACACATGTCAAAAAACTTTGCTCACACTGTAAAATACAATTTAACATGTTTTTAACATGTGTGTTAAATTCCGAGCCCTGGTAATAACACTCACATCCCAAGGCATTGATCACATTGCCCAGGGCCAGCAGGCCCTTGTTGATGTTCACGCCCTCCTTGAAGCGATCCCCGCTGGCCAGGGTCTTGGAGCAGCGTTCCGAGCCAGCCAGATCCACCAGATTGAAGCGGGATGTGGTGACGGATTGCCTGCCGGAGATAGAGAGTGACTAGGGATCCCTAGGGATGACTAACCAACCCCCTCATACTTGCCGTCCAGCTTGGTGGCCACCAGGGTGAGCGTGAAGATGGCATGCGATCTCGAGGAGGTCTCGTTCATGGCCGTGGCGGCCACAGCTCGTCCGGCGGAGCCGCGCATCAGGTGATCGGTGACCTCCTGGGCGGATTTAACCTCCAGTTCGGTGAGACCCGGCATGACAACCCGGTTCTTCACCTCCCTAATGTCCACGGTGGCCTTCTCGCGCTTCTGGCTGGAGAAAAGGTCAAAGAACTGCTCCTGGTAGAGCTCCACGAAGGAGCAGGTGACCGCAAAGCGGAATTCCTCGCGCATATCCTCGATGGCCAGGAATATATCATGAACGGCACGTGGAATGACACCGGCATGATCGTCCAGCACACCATTGAAGGCCGTGCCCATGGTGTAGGTCTTGCCGGAGCCCGTTTGTCCATACGCGAGGATGGTGACATTGTAGCCGTGCAGCAGCTTCTGCACCTTGCCCTGCACACAGCTCTCGAAGATGTCCTTCTGGGTGTCCCCGATGTCGAAGACATTGTTGTACGTGTACGCCTCCGTCCGGTTGACCGTCACCTGGGGAGCTCCGTCCGCCGAACGCTCCACGGCGATCCGGCAGCCGCGGTCCAACTCCGACTGCACCAGGGGGCGCACGCGCAGGGCCACGGCCACGGAACTGGGATCCTCGCCGGACATCTGCGAGGGGGGGATTAATCTGCCAAATAGGGATAACCTATAATATGCTGATATCCAACCACTGACCATCTTTGGCGCCATTTCCACCGGGAACTCACCGTTTTTTTTCAGCCAAGGAACACAGGGAAGAACTAGGAACTAGCAACTAGGCACCGCGGTGGCCCCGGACAACAGGCAATTTTGGTTTTATCTAGAGCTATCTAGAGCGGTTACGTTACTTTCGGCAATTTTTGGGGCCCAGCAATTTAAGCTAAAGGAATGCGACGCCAGCAAACGAATACATTGTTGCTGCCAGTATTTTCAAAAATGGCGGAGTTATCGATTGGTCCGTCCGCCCTTCGATAGGTCGATTGGCCAGCGGGTGTGTCGTTGTGGCTAGTTTATGGCTACTTATTTTAGGTAAAATTTAATGGAATTAAAATAAAACGTTGTAATTTGTCTGTTCCAACCTCGAACACAACTGAAGCTCGAATTTGAACAGGAAAAACAACAGTAGTGCTGTTACAAAGAATAATAACCCAAACAAAAAAAGTATTTTGGTCAAAATGGAAATAATGATCTAAATATGGAATGTCATACCTCGTTGAACTCGTTATTAAATTCCCAATCGATTGGCATTTCAGCCTGAAAATTTTTAATTTTTGCCATTTTTCCCAAAAAGTTATGATGGTACCCCTTAAAAAAAAAAGCGAAAATTGGGCCAAAAACTAATTTTCCCAAATCAGTCGCAAAGTGCATTGATATTAATTATAAGGTTGTAAGCTGCACAAAACAGTGCTCCTTTTTGATATGGGACCATTTTTGTCCAAGTTACAGCAAAAAATCTACAATAAAAATCAAATTTTTACCAAAAATCATGATCCTGATTTTTCACCCCAAAAAAATTAGTATTTAATATTGGTATTTTGTTTATAAAAATGGAAATAATGATCCAAATATGGAATGTCATACCTCGTTGAACTCGTTATTAAATTCCCAATCGATTGGCATTTAAACCTGGAAATTTGTAATTTTTGCCATTTGTCGCAAAAAATTATGATGGTACCCCTTATAAAAAAAGAGAAAATTTGGTCAAAAGTGAATTTTCCCAAATCAGTCGCAAAGTGCACTGATATTAATATTTAGGTTGTAAGCTGCACAAAACAGTGCGCCTTTTTGATTTGGCACCATTTTTCTCCAAGTTACAGCAAAAAATCTATAATAAAAAATCTAATTTTTACCAAAAATATTATATTTTATTTATTAAAGCTTAAAAGTGAAAATTAAATATTTTATGGTTCAAAAAAGGTCAGAATCCCACTCTGGTTCCCAATCTAGCCTTTTCCCGCTAGATTTAACGCTAACCGCACAGCGCTAAAGAGTTATCGGCTTTTTGAACGCTATTCGCCGATAGAGTCGCCACCGAACAAGTTGTGGAATTTACCCTGTCTTTCGCGATAATTTGCCTAGAGGAGGAAGGAACCAGGACGAGATCAGGAAATGGAGGAAGCGGTGCCGCGTTCCAAGCTGCTGGCGGAGGTGTTCCAGGGCAATGGGAACGGATGCGCCAGCGTGGACGCCACCCAATCGGCCATTTTGAAAGTGCTGACGCGGGTGAATCGCTTCCAGGAGCGCGTCCAGAAGCACATAGATGACAACTACACGGAGTTCATGCCCAACCACACCTCGCCGGACCTCTTCCTCGAGGAGTCCGCTTCGCTGAGCCGGGAGATCCACGATCTCCTCGAGACAGTGGGCTCCGAGGGACTGGGCGCCCTGGAGGAGGCGAATGCCAAGTTGGCGCGGAGTGGAAGGCAGCTGCGCGAGATCCTCCTGGGCCTGGCGGTCAGCGAGCATGTGCTCAAGATCGACGAGCTGTTCCAGTGCGTGGAGGAGGAGAAGGCCACCAAGGATTACCTGGCCATCCTGGATCTGGTCAGCCGTTTGAGGGCCTTCGTCTATGGCGAGGATGCTGATCCGCCGGTGGCCTCGGTCGAGGTGCGACGCGTCTTCCAGGCGCTCGACTGCTACGAGACCATCAAGGTGAAGTACCACGTCCAGGCGTATCTGCTGCAGCAGACGCTCCAGGAGCGCTTCGATCGTTTGGTGCAGCTGCAGAGCAAGTCCTTCCCCACCTCGCGCTGCGTCACGCTGCAGGTGAGCCGGGATCAGGCCCAGCTGCAGGACATCGTGCAGGCCCTCTTCCAGGAGCCCTACAATCCGGCCGCGCTCTGCGAATTCCTGCTGGACAACTGCATCGAGCCGCTCATCCTGCGGCCCGTGATGGCCGAGTATAGCGAAGAAGATGCCGACTCTGGGTCCCACGTTCGTCTCTCCCTCTCCTATGCCACCGGCAAGCCCAGCTCCGAGCAGCTGCGTCCGAACTACAAGCAGGTGCTGGAGAACTTCCGGCTGCTGCTGCAAACGCTGGCCGGGATCAACAGCAGCGTGTCGTCCAGCGGACAGCATGTGTTCAGCATCATCGGGGATCATGTGAAGGACAAGATGCTGCAGCTGCTGGTGGACGAGTGCCTCATACCGGCTGTGCCCGAGACCATGGAGGAGTACCAGTCCGCGACGCTGTGTGAGGATGTCACCCAGTTCGAGCAGCTGCTGGCCGACTGCTTCCTCATCAATCCCGAGCACGATCGAGCACTGGGGCGATTTGTCGAGCAGTACGACACCTACTACCGCAATCGACTGTTTCGGCGAGTCCTGGAGACGGCGCGCGAGATCATCCAGCGGGATCTGCAGGACATGGTGCTGGTGGCGGCCAACAACGGGCCTACCGAGGTGGCCAGCGATCCCTTCCTCTTCCCGCGCTGCATGATCTCGAAGAGTGCGCAGGTAATCAAGTAACTAATTAATATTGATTAGATTACTTATAATATATTTCCCGGCAGGACTACGTCAAGCTGATGGACCGCATCCTGCGGCAGCCCACGGAAAAGGCGGGCGAGAGCGAGGCGGATCCCCTGACCGGCGTCATCTCCATCATGCTGCACACCTACATCGATGAGGTGCCCAAGGTGCACCGCAAGCTGCTGGACAGCATTCCCCAGCAGGCGGTGCTGTTCCACAACAACTGCCTGTATTTGACCCACTGGGTGGCCCAGCATGCCAGCAAGGAGATCGAGAATTTGGCGGCTTTAGCCAAGACGCTGCAGGCCACAGGGCAGCAGCATTTCCGCGTGCAGGTCAGCTACCAATCCTCCATTCTCATGGAGATCATGCAGGGCTTCGAGTTCGAGAGTCCGCACACCCTGGGCTCCGCTCCTCTGAAACTGGTGCGCCAGTGCCTTCGTCAACTGGAACTGCTCAAGAACGTGTGGGCCAATGTGCTGCCGGAAACAGTGTACAATGCCACCTTCTGCGAACTGATCAACACCTTTGTCGCCGAGCTCATCCGTCGCGTTTTCACGCTGCGCGACATTTCCGCCACAATGGCCTGCGAGCTGAGCGACCTCATCGACGTGGTGCTGCAGCGGGCGCCCGCCCTCTTCGGCGAGCCAAACGAAGTGGTGCAAGTGCCCAGCTGGCTGAAGCTGCAGCAGCTGAAGGCCATGATGAACGCCTCGCTCAAGGAGATCACGGAGCTGTGGTGCGACGGCGCCGGGCCGCTGACCGCCAGCTACAACGCCGACGAGATCAGGCACCTCATCCGGGCGCTCTTCCAGGACACGGATCGTCGGGCCAAGGCCATCACGCAGATTGCATAGGAATGGAGTTACTGAAATATATTTTGATAATATCGAGTTGTAAATAATTATATATCACGTCTTAAATTGATTTACCAGTTGCGATTACTTATTCTAAGGCTCAGATACACATTCAATTTTTAACGTCAATTTATTGTAGCATTTTTTCTTTAATGTGACTTCAAACGAGCGCGAGAAAGAATCAAATATTTTTGACTGTTCTACCAATAACACCAATGATAAAGGCGCGATATCATATTAATCCTGACTCGTTTGCACTTATTTAAACTCACAGAAATGAAAAATTGTCACAATAAATTGGGGCTTAAAATTAAATGTGTCATCTGAGCCTAACCAATCCAAACACACACTCTCTATCTTAAGCTTTATTTAAAGTAATAATAACAATGCTAGTGCGCCTCGTGTCTGGCCTGAAGAATAAGAACGTACAGCTGCTCGGTGAGCAGTCGGTGATCTCGGCCATGGGTGACGGTCAGGATGCGCTGGGCCTCCTCCAAATGGTGCAGGGCCTCCTTGGCGTGGTTCTCGTACAGCTGGATCTTGCCGAGCTTCATGTGCAGCAGGCCGAGCAGCGGATTCCAGGGGCCGTGGTATTTCCGGAAGCCCGGCAACAGGCGTTGTCCATAGTCCAAAGCATCGGCCCACTTGCCCACTTCGATGGCGGCTTCAAAGGCCGAGTCCAAAGTCTTTACATACCAAACGTTCAAAGGATGAAAGACGCCGGTCTGCTTATCCAGGCACACCTTACAAACATCCAGATCTGGGGAATACGGAGTAAATGGAGTGAGAAAAGATATCAAAGAAGGTTTAACCCATCCAACTCACAGGCCACGTCCTTCATGTGCTCCAGATTGTGCCGCGTGAGGGTCATCGCCTCGTTGAACGCGTTCCTCAGCTTGGGACTGATCCCGGCATCGCAACGCGGGCAATTCGTTCGCTCCACACTGATCCCGGCGCCACAATTGCGATTGGGACACAGGGCGGCCAGCATCTCCTTGGACTCCTTGGCGTCCGTGCACTTGCTGCAGACGCAGAGGAAATAGTAGTGCTCCTTGAGGTCCAGACGCCGCTGCTCCGGCGTATTCAGCAGATCGATGTAGCTGATGAAGACCTTGGACCAGTCCAAACACTCCATATCCTCGATCGCGTGCACGTGCAGCTCGTTGCCCTCGAAGGTGGCCACCGCATTCGGCTGGCAGCTGTGGTCCGTGATCGAGACGCCCAGGTAAATGGCCGTGGCAATCGAGTTCATCTCGGCGTCTAGGATATTGAAGCCATTGGTGATGAGCTGCAAGGGCGGAGATCGGAAAATAGATGATCAATTCGTTGGCAGGGCGCCTAATTCTAATTTGGGGCGGCGACCAGGAGCGGCTGCCGGGGGCTAAGATCACTATACCTTTCCCCCTATTCACCTGGATCCGCTCCTGACCGCTCGCACAGGTGCCTCTGGCCACTTACACGACCGTAAATGCTCATCAGTTCCGTCTTGTTCGGCACCGTGCTGGGACTCTCGGCCATCATGTCGCTGAGCACGGCGTGCAGCGAGTCCAGGTGCTCCAGTCGCCTGGGATCGTTCTTGATTTCGGCATAGTCTGTTGAGGATTACCAAGGAGATTAGCAGGGATTGCAAAGGATACTAGCTTGGCTCACCCACGGGACATGAGGTCGCGGAACTTGCGGGAGCCGTGCTCGGCGTAGTAGCCCCGGATGAGATCGCCGCCGTGCTCCAGGCGCAGGATCAGGCGGCAGAGCATCCTGGCCGCATCCGGAACGATCCGCGGATGCACTTTCTTCAGGAAGGGGCACTCGTGCTTGTGCTGGGCCCACGCCTGCATCTGGCAGGAGCGATGGCAGTAGGACACGTACCGGCAGTTGGAGCACTTGAGCACCTTGGTTCTGTAGGGGGATTATAGGGATTATGGGGATTACGAGGATTACAAAGATTGGGAGGATATACTCACGCCTCCAGGCAATTGTCGCAGCGCTCCAGGCGATACTGCGACTTCAGGACAAAGGCAAAGGGCTTCTCCGTGAGGATCCGCTGACCCCTTTTGATTTGCGGAGCCGCATTCTTTCCGCTTCTCGATTTCGCTGAGATGGCGGATTTGGATGCGGAGGAACTGGCCATTGCTTCGCCTGGGGGCCCGTCTCACTGACGACTGAAAATGAGCGCACACCTGAAGATCAAAAATATTGTTTCGAATGCTTTTTGAATATTTTGCGGCATCTGATCTCTATTTTTAGCCCACTAAAAACAAACACAATTTACGCAAATCGACTGGCAAACACAGGCAACAAAAACAACAAGGAAACAGTTTTGTTTTTCGTATGCATAGTGGCGTTGCCAGATCGGCGGAGGAGGTCATGCTCCCTACAGTGGGCACTGACAGTGGGAAAAGTGGGTAAAATTACTGATTACTAAATTTAAAATATTAAGTTGAAATGCTAGAAACTGTTGAGTTATTTATAACCAACTAAAAGTGACCTCGAGTTCGATAAAGTGCTCAATAGTAAACAGATCGATTAAATCATTAATAATTAAGCAATATAAATATTAATATTTACTAAGAAGTATTTTTTTTTATTTATAACTGAATAATTTTATCATTAGTGGTTCATTGTTTTTAAAGATCCCTGCTTTTAAGTACCATTTAATAAATACATACAAAATTATGAGTTGCACATTATAACTTTTAAATGAGCCTAAGATATTAAGTAATATAAATATTAATATTATATTTATTAATTTTTAGAGGCCCCTGCTATTGAGTACCATTTAATAAATAAACACAAAATTATGAGTTCCACATTATAACTTTTAAAATGAGGGAGACAGCTAGATTGTCTGAAGCTCAAAAAGGAAAGCCAGAATTTAAATTTCCCAATAGTTCATCTACCGATATGAAAATCCATTAGATAAGCTCGTTTTCGGTGCCCCCGTAAGGGCAGTTTTCTCTTTTTATTTGTAGCAAACTTATATAGCATAGGGACAAATTGTGTGATCGATCCGTACGAACTCGTGTGAGCAGTAAACGCGGGTATATTTGTATTTAGAGCGGGACTGGAACGGGAACTAATTGTTCTGCGGCTTGGACCACTCGACACTGAGGATGAGATGGTCGTAGCCGTGTCCGTTGAGGATCTCGATGGCGGCGGCGGCATCCTTGCGCTGCTTGAAGTGCACATAGGCGAATCCCTTGCAGAGGCCGGTGTTCTTGTCGCGGGCCAGGTACATCTTGCTCTGCGGCCCGATCTTCTTCACCAGCTCCTCGAGATCCGCCTCGGTCATGGACTCCGACAGATTGGATATCCTGATGGCGGCCGTATCATCGCGTCCCCGCATTCCCAGTCCGCCCTTTTGGCTGTCCTTGAGGAAGGGAGGCACATACTTCCCAGACTTGGGGGCATCCACGGCAGCCGCTGCGGCGGCCGAGGCCTTCTTCTCCATCAGATTGGTGTCCATGGCGGTGCCCTTGTAGGGACAATTGACCGACCAATGCTCGCCGTTGCAAATGCGGCACTTGGCAATGTTCTTGGTGGGATCCAGCAGCGGATCGTTGGCCTTCTCGTCCTCCTTGGAGTTGAGGAACTGCATGATGATCTCCTCGGAGACCATGGTGGTCTGCGAATTGGGACCCGGCTTGTCGTTCTTCGACTCGCCGAACTTCGTCCAGGTGCGCCGCTTGGCCACCGTCTTGGGCACCACCTGCTTGGAGATCTTGTACGTGCGCACCACCTTCGTCTTCTTGTCGTCCTTGTTGTACTTGTACTCGGTCACGTACTTGTGCCCGTTCTCCACCGTCTCGGTCGTCGGCGGCAGGCCGCCGTAGTCCAGCTCCACCTCATCCGCCCAGGAGGATTTGATCGTCTCGACGCCCGGCATCTGAAAAGTTTTGAATCTAATATTAATCGGGCTTCACAGGGGCGCGACTTGCGGGGCACTCACTTTGTTTTGCACTGCGATTTGTCTGCGAAATGGTAAATGCAAATTTCGCCACGAGTTAAGCGGATTGGAATCAGCAACACGAAAAGGCAGGGCTACCCTACTGCAGGGCTGGAGAAACATCGATACATCGAAGTTTTACCATTTTTTAGAAATATCGATATAGCGAGGACACCCACCGAACACAGGGTTGCTTATCCAGGTTATATTTCGGTAAAGGTGTCGCGGCTAAGCTAGCGAGGACACCCACCGTACACAGGTCTGCTCATCTTATATTTCGGTAAAGTCGCTCTGCTCGCCTCTGGCCACTCTTCCCTTCTCTTCTTCTTGACACCGTTTCCGCTTTCTGTTCTTTTTCCTCGTGGTTTTCGACTGACAAGATGGCTCCAACCGTAAGTTCCCGAGAAATGCGAAATTGCTGCTGCCCTGGTGCTCTAAAATGGTGCTCCCGGGTGCCCCGAGTTGTGCAACACCGTGTTCCGCTAATGGGCGCTGGCCATTCCCCCGAAATGAGTGTGTGATATATAGTTTTTCTTATTTTTTTTCGGTGCGCTCCTAATCTCCGCCAGGCCAAGACCAACAAGGGTGATACCAAGGCCGCCGCTGCCAAGCCGGCCGAGAAGAAGGCTGCTCCCGCCGCCGCCGCCGCCAAGGGCAAGGTGGAGAAGCCCAAGGCAGAGGCCGCCAAGCCCGCCGCTGCCGCCGCCGCCAAGAACGTGAAGAAGGCGCCCGAGGTGGCCAAGGCTGCCGCCGCCGCTGCTGCCAAGCCAGCGGCTGCTAAGCCCGCCGGTGCCGCCAAGCCCGCAGCTGCCAAGGATGCCGCCAAGAAGGCTCCCGCCGCCGCTGCCGCTGCTGCTGCGCCCAAGAAGGACGCCAAGGCTGCTCCTGCGGCCGCTGGCAAGGCTGCGCCCGCCAAGAAGGCCGCCTCCACCCCGGCTGCTGCTCCTCCGGCCAAGAAGGCTGCTCCAGCCAAGGCTGCTGCTCCAGTAGCTGCTGCTGCTGCCGCTGTTGCAGCTCCCGCTGCCGCTGCTCCCGCTGCTGCCAAGGCGGCGCCGAAGCCCAAGGCCAAGACTGCCGCCCCAGCGCCCAGCAAGGTGGTCAAGAAGAACGTGCTGCGCGGCAAGGGACAGAAGAAGAAGAAGGTCTCGCTGCGCTTCACCATCGACTGCACCAACATTGCCGAGGACAGCATCATGGATGTGGCCGACTTCGTAAGTAGAGCGCCATTTGCGGTCTTTGCTTTCAAGGGATTCCCTTTGGGTATCGAAATCTAGTAGCTAAGATCACTAGAAACCTATATTTATAACCTAAAAGTACCTGGAAAGCATTGATCTGTATGCAAAACCCGCCATTCAGTATCAGTTTGTACCGCACCAAGCTTTCCATTGCCCGCCAATTTAACCAGGGGCTCTGGATAAAAAGTTGTGGTTACAGTGAAGCCTCTCCATTTGGCGATAAACTGCCAGCGGACTTGACCCGTGCCGCCGGCGGTTAACAACTCCTGGAACAGCACTAACAGTAGGTTATAGTTATATGTCCGATTTCGAATCCTTCGCTGCCTTTTTCGGCACTCGCGTGTTCCTCCGCAGCGCCTCCCAATTGCGCTAGTTTGTCAAGGGGCTCTGGGCACTGCACAACGGGGTAGCCACTGACCGCCAGTGACCTGGCACTGGCCAGTGGTGCAACCGTCTGTGAACAGCGCCAAGCCGTGCTATGTGTACCGCCACGTGGTGGGCCCTGGGTTGAGTGCGTCCACAGCCGTGGCGCCTCAGGCCAAAATTCATAGTGCGCCCTGCTGAACGGTGTCCGCTGCTTCGTGGCACTGCAGGTTTTCTTTACTAGCTAGGTGATTCTATCTATCTATCTCTATATGTTTGATATCTTGAGAAACCCGCTAGTGGGCAAACCGAATGCGCTGAACGCGCTTCTTAGCAGGGCGCTGAATCGATTGAGGCAACGCCAAAGGATCAGGTAACTACCATCTTAATCTCATTAATCACACACTTTACAGGCCACGCCGATTTGCCGTCAGAGAGTGAGCTTCATGCGTCGTCGCTCTGATGGCAGTGTACTCAGTGGCACATTGAAAAATTGGTCACTCTTCTTTATTTGGGCCTTCTGTTCTACCCACTCGACTCTTGGCCTTAACAAAGACAGAGACATTAAGCTCCGGAAGGAGAGGCTGCCTTCTAAAGACCCGCAGATCTCCAGCAGAACTAACCCGAGAACATCCCATTCCTCTTCCGCAGGAGAAGTACATCAAGGCCCGCCTCAAGGTCAACGGCAAGGTGAACAACCTGGGCAACAACGTCACCTTCGAGCGCTCCAAGCTGAAGCTCCATGTCAGCTCCGACGTGCACTTCTCCAAGGCCTACCTCAAGTACTTGACCAAGAAGTACCTGAAGAAGAACAGCCTGCGCGACTGGATCCGTGTGGTGGCCAACGAGAAGGACTCGTACGAGCTGCGCTACTTCAGGATCAGCTCCAACGACGACGAGGACGACGATGCCGAGTAAGGATGCAGCCGATCCAGATCCACACAGCAGAAACAACACTAGGTTTACATTCGTTTTTATTATACATCTCACGCCCTCGCAGGGGGCGTGTTTTTATAAGCTAACAACAAGGTGTGAACTCATGGAAAAAATCCCTTCGGGATCGCCGCAATAAAGCATTTGTGTGTGCATCTCGAGATTATCGTAGTTTTTATTGTTTAGCTGAAATCTAAATCATAGATTGACAGCTTAAAAATCGATTGGGGGATCAAACCTCTAAGATTTTAAATCTCTAGATATATAAAGCGATTAAAAAAGCTTTTTCTAATGATCGCTGCTAAGGTGAATGTTTTTTTTAAGATATTCGCTAGTCGTGGTTGTGCTTTTTATACTCGCTAAAAAAGCTTAATGATCAAATAGTTCCATCTCGCTTTATTTCGCGATGGTTTTCGTTTTTTTTTTGTTGCCTAATGTGGTGAAAGTATTTACTGCCCTGTAAGGCATATCATATCATAATGATATGATATATAATGGCATGTCTAAAGTGTAGTTCGTTATGATAGATATCTTACCTTTTAATATTTGTGGCAGAGGATCTTTTTCGAAAGAGAACTCATGATATTATGATATATGATGGCATGTCTAAAGTGTAGTTAGTTATAATAGATATTTTACCTTTTTGTATTTTTTTTTTTAATTTTTTAATCAATGGGGAAGTGCACTTAATGCATCAAGTCTTAAAACCAAAGTCGATCTAGTTATATTGAAAACCGAGAGCATAAATACAGGTATAATTAAGTTTTTAATCGTCTTTTGTTATTTGTAGATACCGGTTTAAGTTATTCAAGTGGAACTGTATTTTCTAGCTTGTTTTTTCTTTTGATAACCAAGCTTTTGTTCTAACAGCTCCATTAACTTTGCGAATATATATATATTCCGGATGAACACGAGTCGTTCATCTATCTCTTTATCTCTCTAAATATTTGCTAGTCTTCCGTACGTCCCCTTGTCAACCCCTTTGTTTACCCACCCACTTGGCGCACCAAAATAGTCCGGACAATCGGCGATGTTCATCATCATTGGGCCAGCGGACCATTAACTACAGTCGTTATATATTCAATTCCCCATTTGGATCGGGGGGCGTTTGCATGCAAACGAAATGAAACCACAACGTGTCGAGTGCTATGGGTGTAGGCGAAAGCTTTTATTTTTATTTAATTCAACAATTGAGTGCAACAAATACATGTAGTTTGCTTACAACAATACAAAAAACAAGCAACAATTACGCTAACAATTCTAGAAAAATATACACTTTTAGTGAGAACTTGCGTTCACTTTGTCTTTAGTTGAGGGTCTTTTGAGTAGGGTTTGCATATATCATATATCGTATAGGGTTATTCATATATACCGGTTTAGGTTTATTCGAATGTTTTTGCTTTTGAGCTTGGGTTGGGGGATGGTTATTCCCACCCAATCATCACAATTGAAGGCCGAGCTGGAAAAGGGGGAATTCTAAACTGGGAGGCCAGCTTGTTTATCCACGAATACTGCAATCGGAGATGGTGCGGCATAAATTAACAATTTTCGTCCAATTAGCGCCTGGAATTATCGATCTTGGCCAGCGGCGTGCAAGTAGATTTACAAATAAGCCACCCTGCCGGCCAAGGCCACGCGAAAAAAGCTGGGGAGGAAGGTACAGTACAGTAGGTAGTAGTAGTATTGGGGTTGGGAACATTCCAGAAGCGTCGTTCCCCTTAGAAGCCGGCAAAGCGCTTGGCCATCACTCCGCAGAAGAGCATGAGGAGCATGGACACTCCTCCTGTCCAGGAGTGGGCTCCACTGGTGTTGGCCTTGACGGACGCCTGCACGGGCGCCGCCACATCCTGGGCCTGCTGCACCTGCTGCGATCCCGGCTGGGCGGGCGCCATGGGAGCCAGCGGAGCCGGTCCCTCGCCAGCCGGAGCTGCCGGCGGCGGAGGCGCCGGATAGCAGGCGATCTTCTCCACCTCCACCATCTTGCTGCTGTCGGCCGGATCCGTTTCGTTCACCTTGGTGGGCACGCAAATGATGCCGCCAGCCGCCGGCGGCGGAGGAGGAGCATCCGCTGCAGGAGCCGTCATATTGGAGGCCTCGGGATTGAAGGGAGCCATTGGAGCCATGGGAGGTGCTGCTGCTACATCCTGGGTAACATTGGAAGGAGCCATGGGGGCAGCAGCCACTCCGCCTGCATTGATCACAGTGGTGCCATCGCTGGCATTCACCGGCACCCCATTGTTGATGATGATGATGCGATCCTGGCCAGTGGCTGCCGGAGCTGCGGCCACCGGCTGCGAGGAGGAGGAGCTGCCGCCCGAGGGCGTGAGGGCGTGGCCCAGCAGAGCACCGCCCAGGCCGCCGGCCAGCAGACCAGTGCCTGTGAAGAAATGAATCATTAAGGCGGCGAAAACAGATGTGTATTGAATGTGGTGTAGCTTGAAATAACACCAAATATGGCCACGAATTGTGTTAATATTTAAGGCTAACATTAGTCAGCCAAAGAGGATGACTTCACCCTGAACTCACCGAAGCCCAGGCCAGAGGAGGATTGCTGTGGCGGCGCCGAGTAGTAGGTGGCTCCGGGTGGCAGGGCCGATCCCGCCTGGTAGTAGGTGGCTCCCGGCGGCGGAGCAGCGGCCGCGGGATGATAGCCACCACCCATGGGCACATGTCCGGCGGATGGATAGTAGGTGGCTCCGGCGGGTATGTTCGAGGGATAGCCGCCGGCGTGTCCTCCGGCCGGATAGTAGGTGGCTCCAGCCGGCACGCCCGAGTACTGCGGCTGATGCAGATTCGATCCGGTGGCTGCTCCGTAGCTCGGAGGAGCTGCTCCGTAGTTGGGAGCATGGTAGGCCGGGGGCGGTTCGTGCATATTGGGTCGGGCACCGCCGGCGGGATTGGAGGCGGAGTAGGCGGGCGGCGGACCCTGCGGCACATTCCAGCCCGGTTGAGGGGCCGCTCCTGGTGCTCCAGCTCCTGCTGCTGCTGGGCGATTCGGCTGGGAGTTGTAGTTGGGGTAGCTCAGCTTGGCCACATCCGCATGCGAATTGCCGCCGGCTGCATGGCCATTCGTGTTGTAGCTGGGCTGCGTCACGTGACCGTAGTTGGAGGAGCTGGAGGAGGAGGAGGAGGTCTTGCGCTGGTTATTGCCCTGGTTACGCCGGGCGTCCACAACACCGCCGCCGTGCGTCAGCAGCAGGGCAAACACCGCCCAGGCCACGAAGGCGACGTGACTGGAGGCCATCATGTGATCGGTAATCCCGGATTATAGAGTGCTTCGCCCGTAGAGAAGAGCAGGGTGAGACTATAAAAGATCGTTAAAAACGGCAAGCGATGAGCGTAAATCAGCGGTGGCTGCTGGTACTGGTGTGCATGCTAATTACAGAAACTCGTTTTGAATGACGCTGAGCTGATGCTTCTACGCGTTTTTGCAGCTGCCTTCGTTTGTCCGCGCGAAACTGGTTAACTCTTGTCGGTTATTTTCGTTATAAATTTCACTTTTTGCAATGTGGCCAGGCAAGGGTTATTCGCAAAATAACTGCAACCACTGGTGGAGCCCTGGTATTGGTTGCGAACCCTGCTAACGCTTATTTTTGCCCTTACCTGGGTTGCGGTCTTTGCTAACATTAAAGAGGTATTGGTTCAAAACCTTGCTTAAATCTAGGATTGTATTGTATATGGTTGTCGTCCATGCTAAAACACAGGAGCCCTGGTATTGGTTGGGTACCTCGATAAACCTCTGCTTTGGGTTGTAGTCCCCGCTAAACATTTGCTGATGGTTGTGAACTTTGCTAGTGCCGAGCGGAAACGGTTACAGTTTTAGAGCCACTAGGAAACTTTGGTCAAGATAGCGCCAATTTCATGCTCAATTTTGAAATATGCTCAAAACGGCGTGTCAAGATAGCGTCACTTTTAGGCTCATTTTTATTTTGCAAGTAGACCAATTGCAGACATTTTCAGGGCCAATTCGATTATTGAATTGATTGCATTTGAACAAAAATTACGTCTTTTCGTGGTTTTTCAATCGTAACGTGGTAAAACCTTTTTTTTACCCATTTGCCAGACAAAAAATACTTACTTTTTTGAACAGCTAAAACAGGATTTTCATGTTATGTTTTTTTGCTGTAACTTTGCCAAAAATTGTCCCAAATCGAAGATACGTATTGTTTTGAACAACTAACGACCCAATAAGTTAAAAAATTAAATTGCCGACCAATTTTTTCATTTTTTGGAAGGGGTTACATCACAATTTTTTGTACAAAATAGAAAATAGCTAATTGCAAAAAATTTTAATGCCAATCGATTGGGAATTTTATTATTAGTTTTTCGGTGTATTACACTCCACATTTTGGCCATTATTTTTTTCGTTTTGCCCAAAACATTCAGAAAACAAAACATTTGAGGTTTTAACATTTATTTACGAATCACAATCGGAAGTCTAGCGTTAAAATGCCACTCCCGTTCGACTACTCGGCTACCTATGAATTATATTTTAAACAGAAAAAAAAACAGAACAGGCGGGAGCCCTCTTAATATCTAATTGGGCATTAGGACATGGCAACTAGGAGTAGTTGTGCAGCAGGTAGTCGTAGGAGTACTCGAAGACCAGCAGCAGGATGGCGCCTCCGGGGCCCAAGCGCATGATCTTCGGGACGAGTCCCTTGTACAGGGCCCGGAATCCCTCCTCGCGATAAACGATGCCCATGGAGCTGAGCGTTCCGCGGTACTTGATCTGCCCGGCCACCGGCTGTGGGCCCTGAATCCTCGACTTGGCCACATCGAACGGTATGTTGACGAAGCAGGCCAGAGTGCCGGCCAGGAAACCGATGGTCACCTTGCGCAGGAACTCCAGATGGTTCTCCTTGTACTCGGGCACCACGTTCTTCACGCTGTGATAGAACCCGAAGTACACCATGTTGAAGACACCATTGCGCCCCATCGTGGCGGTAATGCCCTTGTTCAGTCCCCGAAAGCCCAGTCCGTCCTGCTTGATGATGCCCTTGGCCACCGCGAACGTGCTGAGCATCTTCTTCTGCCGGTCCGCCTGCTGGGCCACCTTGACCACCTCGAAGGGATTGACGGCGATGGCCTCCAGAGTGCCGGCCGTCAGACCGGCCAGCGAGAAGGTCAGCGGGGTGGGCGTGGGCGAGCCGAACTGGAAGAGGGGCTTCGTTTGCTCGAACACCAGGAACTTTATGGCTCGCTTGGGGGTCTCGGCCAGAATGGGCGGCATAATGCCCTTCCAGTACGAGCTGATGCCCTCGTGGCGGTACATCTTGGCGAAGCAGTCGAAGACACCATTGTAGTGCAGCTGGAAAATGGTGATATTTCATTAGTAAATTGGTTTTTAAAAAATAGAAAATGATATGAATAACTTGATCTTTAAAAAAATAAAATTGACCAGCACATATCAATCTGATCTTTTGTCAATTTGTTTTCTCAATATATACATTTTTTAAATGTTGTTTTTTCTGAATTTAAATCTATAACTAAAAGAAACTCATATTCATCATTTTGACACAAATTCACTTTTAATATGTATTTTTTTTTCTTTAACTAAACAAAACTAACTAAAGCCAAAATATATTTTCCAATTAGTTTTCTTGCATTGCAAAATATGAGCTTATTTTCATTTCACTCTTTATTCTCGCCACACGAAAAACTGGAACTATTTCAACGGTCAACGGCGTGCATTGTTCCAGATATCTGCTATTTATCTGCTGTATTCGTGCTAATTTCCCCCCTTAGTCCCCCCTTTCGCTTTCTTCGACTGCTTTCATTGGCAGTCGTAAATTTGTTTAATCATTGCGCCGCGACGACTGAGAAGAAGATTCAGGAGAAGAAAGAACTTGTGTCGCAGTATCGAGACATTTTTATGCTGGGGTGTCTGCACACACAAATTATTGTTCCTCATAAACTCTAAGCTGAAGAACAAAATAAATAATTCTTTCTTTGTCTTTACACTTTTGTACTTTCTTTTTTAAACCATAAACATTAATAATATAACAATTTCTTTCAAAATCTTGGGGCTCTAGCCTCTCTTATCTAAAGGCCTTCTAAGCATAAAGATTTCCGAAAGCAGAAAAAATGTAGAAAACACCCAGATTAGATAGGTGGACCTCTCGAGTTGCCCTAGTTGAAATTCCCAGGAATTGGGCTATAACTAGGCTCTTTCATCAGCTGTTAGTTCCCAGGCAGTTCTACCTATCACTTGGCCCCAAATTAATGGCCCACACGCGTGTCCAGTGTCGGAAGAAGAAAATGGAAAGTGCCGAGCTGCTATCAGCGCATAATTCCGATTGGCGAATGTCTGGCATGGGTCTGTCTATATAAATATATACGCATGTACATCTGACTGATAAGCGTGTTCCGGGGGAGCGCGGCGTTTCGCTTCGACTGCTGATAAATATGGATTGTCTGGCCATTCGCAAGAGAAATGTAAACACAGAGAGAGAGCGCCAGTTGAAGGTGGAGAAAATGCAGAGAGCGCTTGTCCGTGACCTTGCTTTGCCCTTATCCAAAAAAGAAAAGCCCCAACCAAAACAAAGCACAGCTGATAGGGGGATTTATGTAGATACATCTTTGTAGTGGCCTCTTCAGATCCTGAGTTCTGATTTAATTTCCCTAAATTATAAGCAGAATCTTTAACGTATCTTTGGGATACCTGTTTTAAATTTCTATTAGATGGCTTCTTTAGTCAATATCTGTTGAATTTTTTCTGAAGTAGCTGGCTATTAATGGGAATAACTAAATGAATTAAATATATTTTTGGATTAATATATAGTTATGAGAATATTTTATAATTTTTAGAATAGCTAAATATTTTTCTGATTTTTTTCTACACTCACTTTACCTCTATAAAAGTTCCTGGTATTTTTCCTTTATGCCCAAGATATTGGTACCCCCATATCTGCCATCTTGAGTACCCCAGCAAACACTCACCTCGCCCAGAGCAGCGGCATTTGGCGCCGGAGTGGCCTGGATCTGGATGCGGGTCTTGACCACATCGAGTGGCTGCATGATGCAGACCTCCAGGAAGCCAGCGGAACCGCCGGCCAGAACCTGAAAGGCGGCGCGCTTGGCATGCGAAATCTCCTGCGGCTGGACAGCCATCCTGGCGAAGAGCTCCTTCGAATCAAGGCTAAACAAACTACTCGGCACTGGCAAACCGACAAGGGCCAAAGACAATCGAGTGCTGTCACTTCAATCAGTCGGTTCCAATTCCAGAGCCAACTGATTCGAAAGTCGGAATGTGTAAATAAATTTCGGGGCGAGCAGCTAGAAACGAGAAAAACTACAAACTACTACGGTTGAACCACACGCTTCGAGAACACAATTCGCACTGAGCTCGAGAATGGGGCAGATGGTTGGGCCCAAGACAAAAGGGGACACTGAAAGAAACTGTATATGATATGATATCAAAATAAAATGAGAAGTAAATCCATCCATAAAATATTCCATATTCTTAATGATTTTTTTCTTTCTGTGCAGAGAGAAGCAGAGAATATAGAAGATAGCACTGGAACGGGGTCGGGGCTAAGCTTTCGCCGGATTCCGATTCGGATTGGGAATGAGAATGGGAATAATCGGAATCGGAATCGGAATAGAGAGCCGCATGTGCTGGAACGATACGCTAATTGAATTTGCTCACGCAGATCGTGGGATCGTTGAGGAGCTTTAACACTTGGGGTCTCGGGTCTTTGCCGATCCGATCTCCCAGCCAGCCAAAAAGCTCAAGATATCGGACAAAAGAAAGCTCTTTCATGTGGCCTATGGAAAAATTCTACAGTTCAAAGTAATTAACCCCCATCCCTAAGATCTCAAAACTACCCATTCACACTTTGTATCCTTGGAACAGGTAGCAAAGGTATAGAAAATTCTGGTCAATATAAAACATTCACTTAAGTATCTCTGAGCTAACACCCACATTTGACATGGCAATTGAAAACGTTTAGGGCTATTGATTGAATATGGGGCGCTTATAGATAAGAGAGAATGGGACAAATTGCTTAGATAAGATTACCGAGAGCAAGGAAAAATCCAGTAGGTTCTAATATAATATATAGTTTTGTTTGATTGACAGTTAGATAGTACCGTTCAAGTACTTAGGCACCTAAGTCACACAATTAAAGCAATCATAAATGTCTATCATTCGGTTTTATTAAAAATTTGACTTTAATATTATAGATATTTTGCTGTAACTTGGACAAAAATGGTCGCATATCAAAAAGGCGCACTGTTTTGTGCAGCTTACAACCTTTTAATTAATATCAGTGCACTTTGCGACTGATTTGGGAAAATTAACTTTTGCCCCAATTTTTGCCTTTTTTTTAAGGGGTACCATCATAATTTTTTGCGAAAAATGGGAAAAATAAAAAATTTCCAGGTTGAAATGCAAATTGATTGGGAATTTAATAACGAGTTCAACAAGGTATGATACACCATATTTGGATCATTATTTCCATTTTTATGACCAAAATACTAATTGTAAATACTAATTTGTTGGGTGAAAAATCTGAATCATGATTTTTGGCAGAAAATTTGATTTTTTATTGTAGATTTTTTGCTGTAACTTGGACAAAAAAGGTCCCATATCAAAAAGGCGCACTGTTTTGTGCAGCTTACAACCTTATAATTAATATCAGTGCACTTTGCGACTGATTTGGGAAAATTAACTTTTGCCCCAATTTTTGCCTTTTTTTTAAGGGGTACCATCATGATTTTTTGCAAAAAATGGGAAAAATTAAAAATTTTCAGGCTGAAATGTCAATCGATTTGGAATTTAATAACGAGTTCAAGAAGGTATGACACACCATATTTGGATCATTATTTCCATTTTTATGACCAAAATACTAATCGTAAATACTAATTTTTTTGGGTGAAAAATCATTCTTTTCTGTGTACAAATATTTGAGGACTTTTACCGCTTAGCCAACATAATTTGAATTTAATAATTAGGTTCATAATATAATTTTCTTATGAAACCCAAAAATATTTAAGGATTTACACCGCTTAGCCAATAGAATTTGACAAGCCTGCCATATAGACTCGACTCTATCGCAACCATTAGATGCTTATCTGTGCATCCCATTAATGATGTTCCTCGCCCATGTAAATACGCTCCAATGTGGAGGCTTCTCTCCTCTAACCAGAAGATCCAGAGCCACAGCTCCACAATGGACAAACAAATCGTTTGACATTTTCGGCCGCTTGATTGGTTTATTGTTCATAGTTCACGGCACACCGGACATCAATCAGAGATACCAGATACCTCTAGATGCCTCCAGATTGAGGACAACTTTCATTTACATAAAATGCATTCTATGCCGAAATTGATAGAACAAATTGTCGGTGTCAAAAATGAATCTCCCATCCGAACCCGAATCCGAATTCGAATCGGAGATCCCCCGAAGCCCCGAATCTCTATGATTTAGATGCCTTTCTTCTGCCCTTCTGTGGCGTTGTCTGTCTGCGTGTCAGTGTTTTATGATTGTCCAAATATTTCTGGCTGTTAATTATGGGCACGAGTTTCGGCTAGCTGGAAAATGTGGAAACGACGGAGATGGACCGTGGATGTGTGGAATTTATGACATTCAAGGGGGCGAGGAGGTGAGCAGAAGGGGGAATTTAAAACGCATTAGATGCCATTAAAAGCGAATTAATCCGGGATGGTCTAGAGATCCTGACCTAATAATGCTGTCAAGTCACGCAATCGCAATTGGAATTGGAATTGGAATGGGTATTGGAAAATCGAAAATAGAAAATCAAAAATCAGTTCAGATCATCCATGAATGGGATCGATGGGAAAACGATTCATTTCGCCTGGGCAATTTCTCGTCTTTCCACCCGGCTGGAGATCACACAAAGATCCCACATGGAGTCCCATGTTCCGCCTCCAAAAATGCATTTTCCTCGTCCCATAATTAGTACGAGTTTCACAACAACAAACGGGGCAGGCCACATGCAAGCGCCGATTGATCGATCAAAGCCGCGATATACAGATATACAGGGCTAATCAATCATTTTTCCATTTCCCATTTTCATTCTAGGCCCAAAGTGAGAACTCACGACCGCCTGCAGCAAAGGCAGCAAAGGCAGAGGCTATTAACCCCGTTCTTCTTTCAGTTTTTGGTCAGAATGTTCCACTTGTTGCACACTTGTGGCCCTTGGAGAACAAAACAAGAACAAGTTGGCCCAAAACACGGGCAGCGGTCAAAACAAAAAACTGAGACATGCACAGAAAAAAATATCCATGATAATTAACTAGAGAATTGTACATATCATTTGGATATTTATGAAAAATTCCATGCGATATTTTTAAGTAATTATTATACTATTACTCTGATTACTATTTTCAATTTTCACAATCACTCACCATAAGAATATTTTTTATCCGTGTGGAGAACGCCGAGGGAAGGTCCATCAAAGAATCCCCGAAAATTCACTTGCAGGCCTCGAGAACAACAAAGGGAATCGGTTAAGAGTGTTTTGATTAATGCCAGTTTTGACAGCTGATGGGCCATGATGATGGAGATGGAAATGGAAAATAGCTGGCTCCATTGATGCTGAAGCGGAGCTGGCAGCTGTCCAAACCTCCAGACACTCGAAGACCCCTGACAAGTGATCCAAGATCCAAGATACAACTCGGTATAAAGTAACGTTTCGTTAGATATTAGATAGTACTAAAAGTATTTAGTATTTCCTTAAATTTCCTATTTAAATTATAAGCGCATATCAGATAGCTCTAACCATTCACACACACACAATACTCGTATAACATTAAATTAAGCCATGTTTAGTTATTATTTTGAAGATTAAGAACTTAAGACATCCAAAATGTATTTCTTCGTTCCGGTTTTGGACCTACATTACACCCAGTGACCCACTGGCGGGCACAACTTGTCCACTCAGAACGAGTTGTGCGATTTTCGCCCAAAACGAAAGTTAGTTACGCCATCCAAACCCAAATTAGGCACTATAAAGTGATGGATTTAGTGGGTATAGTTGACCATTTCACCGACGTTCGTCACACCAAATGGAGTTGCCTTGGATTGTTCTCTTCCTTTGGATTGGGCCAACTGTGGGGCAGGGGCAGCAAAAGCAGCACCGACCACTCTGGATACTGGAGGATGGGCTGACCAAGCGGCAGCGACAGGATCGACCGGAAGCGGACTATGAAACCACCACGAGGATGACTCCGCTGATGATCCGGCGGCAGGGAAGGGGACCAGCTGAGCAGCCGGGAGCCATTACCTTCCTGGTTAGACATGAAGATCGGGAGGCAGCTCCTCCACCACCCCCACCACCTCCTCCTCCCCAGCGTCGCTTCATGATGCCCCACCACCGCCTGCAGCTGCCCCACCAGTACGTCCAGCATCCTGGCATCCAGAAGAGCAGGAGTCACCGTCGCGAAGGACGTCGTCATCTGCCCGTTTTCGATAATGGTCCCGGCGAGAATTCCCTTCAATTGGGCAGCAGCAGCCGGGATAACTATCCCATTTTCGTGTACAACGGCACCAGGGGCGAACTGATATTGAACACCATGCTGAGCAGGCGGCGATATCCCATGCAGGAACCCGTTCCCGGCCAGGTTCTCTATCCCCCCTCGACGCCCATGTTCCGGCCCAAGCCGATTGTGGAGCGATTCCGGATGCCGGGACAACGGGAGATGATGAACTTGACTCTGATACCCTTCTATGCACACGAGGCTATTGGTGATCCGGCTGCAGCTACTCAGGAAGCCTCCACCACGACCACTACACCACCTCCGCCGCCCTATGAAAGGAAGGAAGTGACCCAGTTGGGCAAGCGGAAGCGGAAGAAGGCCAAGCAATACGAGGCCTTCCATTCCCCCCAAGAAGTTATGCAATGGCAGACGGTTCTGCGACGATCCACTGGTCACAATCACCGGAATTTTCCCAGTGAGGAAATGGAAATGGAAGTGGAGGAGGAAGAGGAGGAGAATCAGGATGATCTAGACTGGCCAACGGAACCGGAAACGGTCGAAACTCTGGAGGAGCCAACAGAAACGTCCACCTCCTCCTCCTCCGCCAGCAGCCCCAGTGAGCCCTTCCAAATCGTCTATATCGATGAAAGTTTGGAGCGACCCGTCGTCGAATCCCTGAGCACCACCACTGCACCACCGACTCTGCGACAGAGCTCGCGATATGCCCTCAAAAAAGAGTACTACGCCTTTCCGGTTTATACGCTGGGCAAACTGCTCCAGCCGCAGGGCCAAACATCCATGAAACTGCGCGAGAAGAGCGATCGATCGGCGAGAAGTTCAGGAGAAAGGGAGCCCAGCACTTGGTTTATACTGAATTCACGGTAGGTTCAAGTTTTTATACTTTAAAACCTTTAATATCCCGATCAAGTCTGTTTTTCCATCTGTTTCGGGTCGTTTTGGCTAAATAACTAATTTTTCTATATTTTGTTTTCTTTTAACGTTTAACATTTGATTTAAATATTATTTTAGTTTTTAACAAACCGAACCGGCAGATTAAATATTTTCACCCCATATCATATACATATATATATATACGTATATATATTCGCCAGATCCTACATAAATCGAAAATGTTGAAGCTACGTAACCTATTGGCCGTCGTCGGCAAAAGCAACAACAACAACAACGCTGTCCGCGCCCTATCCACCACTGCAAGCGTCAACGATTCGGAATCATGGTTCTCAAAGTTGCTCGTTCGGAAAATAGAGCCAACCAAGGAGTCGCACAGTCGTATGCTCAGCGATAAGGAGATCATATATGCCCTACATACGCACAATGTCAGGCCCGATTCCATGGGCAACTATTTAAACAACTACAAAAATACTGTGGCATTGATAAACGAAAAGAAGGCGAATCTTTCGACCGAGTTGGTGGCATCATGGACCGTTCAGGTGGGCGACATGGATCAGTGCCTGCACCTCTGGAAGTACACGGGAGGATTTGAGAAAATCGACCAGGCCAAGGAGGACCTTTGGAACGACCCGGAGTATCTAAGCTTGATGCAAGAACGCTCCAAGTTCCTGCGATCCCGTCATCTGCAATATCTCTTGGCCTTCAGCTACTGGCCGCAGATTGCCAGTCGTACCGGCAAGAACATTTACGAAATGCGCTCATACCGACTGACCCCTGGCACCATGATCGAGTGGGGCAACAACTGGGCCCGTGCCATCAACTATCGCAAGCACAACAACGAGGCATTCGCCGGATTCTTCTCTCAGATCGGAAGACTGTACAATGTTCATCACATTTGGTGTTACAAATCCCTACAAGACCGTAAGGAGACCAGGGAAGCATCCTGGCGAACACCCGGATGGGACGAGTGTGTGGCCTACACGGTGCCATTAATCCGAGAGATGCACTGCCGTGTCCTTGCGCCAACTGAGTTCTCGCCCTCACAATAATTAAGCACCGGGCGTTACCGTTTTACCTATTTTTTTTTCGCGATCTAAGAAGTTGAAGCCTAGCAACGCCCGATCGAATTTGCTGTGAAATCAACGAGAACGTAACTTTGCCCCCTTTCCTGTTGAATAGTTATTGTAAATAATGCCAGCTAAATATGCAATCATTTTTATTTTTTTTTTTAAGTATAATTAAGGTCAAAGTGAAAATTGCTATACCAGAAACATTTTTACAAGCCCTACGTCTGTATCAACCTACGACCTTTGAATTTAACAAAACCAATTTTGTTTTTATAAAATAAAGCAAAATAAATAAAGCAATTATAACCCTCTTGAATTTCAGTTACAAGGGACCGCATCACCGTTCACTGGCAATGGATAATCAGACCAAGTACTATACCTCAAAATACATAGAGAATGGCTTCAGACCCAGAAGATAATAAGAATAACTAGTGATATAATATATAAGAGAGATTAAGACAATAAACAAGTGTGGTTTTATAAGAAAAGCAGTCCAAAAAAGGAATCGATATGAAACGTAGATCGATTTTACATTATTTAAGATCAATTTTAATTTGATATGCGGCCAGGTTAATTTGACCTGGTCGAAAAGAGTATTTCATGTAAAAACGATATGGGTTTTGCATGACCTGAAATACATGCAATATCCATTTAATGGAAATATGTTTTTTTTCGTGTGTATAACTAAGAAATGAACCCGTAAAATATGGTGATTATGACAGTGATCCCGCGATGATCATTAACGCCTCTCTGTGCATTCATATGGTCAATGAGACAGTTTAGATTGTAATGGGTCGGCCAAAGTGGAACAGTTTTACAAGCCATAAAGGGCAGTCGTAAATTCCTGTCGGACAAAAGGCGCTCGTAAATTGGAGAGTGAAGAATGGAAAGAATAGGAACCACTCTATTGAGCTTGGAGATTTCTAGATTTTCCGAGCGACCCATTCAGTTGCATAATCCATCGTGCAAATCGAAAATGGGTAAGCTAAAGGCGTCGGCTGACCCAAATTCCAGAACCCAAAACTAAAACCAAAACACAGAAAATCAAATCAGAAAGAAAAACACAATTTCAAAGTGTTAAAAAGCACAGGGGAGTGGGGAGAAAAGTCATCAAGAAATTTTTTATGGCCAATCGAATGGTTGCGGCTTTTTTAAGATTCCTACTCCACCTTCTTTATAACATCAGTGGATCCATCATTCATTCAATCACTTTGTCAATGATGCACCTCTCCAGGTTCCTCGTCCGTTCATTATTATTATTGATTTCCCAGCTTAGTTTTCGCTCTGCAGCATGCAATTAATTTTCTCGTTGTTCTACAAGGGCTCCCCATTCCCTTTCTCCAACTGGGTAAAAAAAAACCTGCTTGGTGTCGGCTTTTCTGTTCTGAACAGCGCATTGCCATGGGCCACACAATCGATCCCAACCGATTCCCCATTCCCAGTTTTTCAGTTTTCGGCTATAAAAGCTCGCACCGTGAATCTTTTTGGGCTTAGAACAAAGGCAACCGCGAACGCGAGTGGTTTAGGATCACAAGATTGCTTCCTTTTTTTTAAACATATTTTTTGATTGTTCACCAAGGATAAAGGGTATTCGACCCAGTGAAGTGTGCAAATGCAAACAGAAATGTGGATAAATTGTGTGGTATGTGAAGAAAATTAAAGGATGCGCCAAAGATGTCCTTACAGGCTCAAGGATTAAGTCGAACAATATTTTTCTGATCGAAGTGACCGATAATCGTGACTGTTGTAATGAAAATACAAGTTAAATGGAGCGTTTATATAAATGTTAAGATCATACGATCCTATATCAATCTAATTTTAAGGACAATTAAGGAAAATGTAATTTTTTAGCGAAACCTTGAAGGAAAATGTTTGAAAATGTAAAAACAGCAATTTCTAAAAAATTGTACTCTTTATAAGATAGGAAAAGAGTTTAGACTTTTTTAAAGGCTTGAGGAATTTTTTAGTAAATAAAAGAAGTTATAAATGCAAAATACCCAATTAAAGGAAAGCCGGTGAAAGTGAAGAATATTTTTGGAGAATAATTTTATGAAAATTATTGCCCCAAAAATTATAAAGTTGAGAATATTATTTAACAAGGATATGTGGTACTTACCCAATAATTTTCTATCCTCTCCTCCTTTAGATCACCCTAATCCTGGCCGGCTGCACGCTGTCCGATGCCTTCTGGTGGCCAAAGACAACAACGTAAGTAAATATAACTGTGAAAGATATGCAGCTTTCCTCACCTGTATCCTTTATCCTTTATCCCGCATCCACAGGGAAACTCGGGAGCCAAGTGGCGGTCAGATGATGCAGCAGATTCCGCTCACCTACTTCCGCACGTACACCTACCAGCCGCTGGCTCCGGGATTCTTTGGGTTCGGAGCACCGCCGCAGTCGCCACTGCTGCCGGGCGTCTCCCATCAGTACGATCCCTATGCCCAGGTGACCAGCTACGCGGCTGCCCGGCGGCATGACTCGGTGGCCAGGCAGGAAGTGACTGCCCCGAGTAGCACCACTAGCACTACTACAACGCCTGCTCCAACGACCACAACGACGACTACGACAACTCCGGCTCCAACGACTAGTACTACCACGACCAGTACCACCACACCGCCACCTCTTCCTCCGGCTCCTCAAGTGTCTCAATCCACCAGCACTAGTTTCTCTGAGGGATCCACTTCCAGTCTGCTGCGCTTCGGCGAATATCCCACGTACAATCGGCGGGTCAGCAACCTCTACAACTCCAGGCCGCAGTATCCGTATCCGGACTACTTCAACTACCAGCCGCCGCAGCAGCAGGAGCAAGGGGTCGCCTCCACTGGCAGTCGCATCCAATTCGTGCCCTGCATGTGCCCCGTGAGCATGCCCAGCCTGGTCTCATCCTCGACAGCGGCCACAGCGCCTCCTCATCTGGCCAGCTCATCCCCTTCTTCCACTGCCTTTGTGGCCCAGCAGCCGGCGGCTCGTCACATCGAGCGACAGGAATTGGAGGCGGAAGCTGATGGCGAGACAGCTGAGGGAGAGGCAGAGGAGGAGGATGATGACGAGGAGGATGTGGAGGAGGAGCAGGGTACCAGCACCAGTAGTATTAAGCCAATCCTCGACTGATTTTTCACTAAATTCGGGGGGGTTAGCCCTTTAAAATCGAGTAAATGCCTACGTTTTTTTTTCTCTTATTTATGGATTGTGAAAATAAATAGCAAGAGCCTGGAAATATTAAAAAGAAAATGATTAATGGAATTAAAAATACACTTGGTTTTTTTTTTACATTGATTTCATGTTCTTTTATTGATTCATATTCGTATGCTCCATCAATTACATTTACACATTTAAATTGTATTTATCAATATTCTAATACTTTGCGCTTGCTGCACGGTTTTCAACTAGCCCCGAGCCAAGATCCTTGAGCTCCGCCTTTCTTCCATTCCTCCATCTCCAAAGTCGCTCCTCCGCCACATGAAACATCCTCAATTAGTGGAGGACACGAACGATCCTTCTTCTACAATCATCAATTCAACAATTACAATTACATTTACTTAACTAGACGAACTTGTGCTTCGAGTCTTTGAAGTTGAAATTAGCTTGATTTTAGCGATTTGAAAAAGGGGGAAACTGTTTTTCCACCCTGATTTTCATTTCAGCGGGGCGCCAAAGTGGTCTAAACGTAGTTAATGCATAGGTAGTACGAGTACAAAAAAGGGAGTTAAGTATACAACTAATCGGGGGAAAATATATAATCAGTCGTTTAAGTTTTTAGATATACATGTATACATCGATATATAAATATAGTCATAAATATATATAAACTGCATTCAAATACAATTACAATTACGATTACGATTACGAGTACAATTACACCTAGGCGCGTCGGGGGTTGAACAATCGAAGAGTTACGAGCTAGAGTACCGGGGCGTAGTCCCCCCGGAGGGACTGGGCCCCAACTAACAAAAAAAAATATGAGTCTTAGGTCTAACAAGATCGTACTCTTATCGTACTTAGTGCTAAGTCTGCTGCGCATGCGCTGAAAAGAATCTTTTCTTCGTTTGTTTGTTTTTGTGTTTTCATTGCAGGTCTGCTTGCTCGCATGTTTGCTCGTTTGTTTGTTTGCTTTGTGTGTTACAGTTGCTTTCGTTTGTGGGCTTACGTGGTAAAGAAATTGCATTAATATGGCCTATCAATATATCTGATGAATATACGTATCCTAAGCCTTCTTCTCCAGATATTCTTCTCATTCCCATAGCTATAGCCTTCATCTTTATGCCTGTCCAAAAAAAAAAATACATTTATCTTTGCTTATAAGATAGAATTTTGTGTTTCTTCGTTTGCATATTTTTTTTCCTTATGATTTGCGTTTCTCGTAAACTTTTTCTCATGGTTTCTTCTTCTGCTCAGACCACCGATTGCATCGGCGTTTTGTCTTCTTGCCTTCAAACTTCCGGATTTTCTAGCTTTAATCGCACACACAAAAAAAAATGGTAAACATAAAACATAACTTTTTGTCGGTTTTTTCTTTTTAAATATAATGAGATTGCGCCAGACTAAACGCGTACATCACTCACGCACTCACTCACGCACAGTCACTCAAAAGTTCAAGCTGCCTGCCACGCGCGCTGAACACACTTGGATATCATTTGAAAAACCTAAGAAGGCGCGAAGAATCGGTTTATCACAGGATTCGGATTCGATTTCAGTCGCGCCCCCCCTAATCCGATAAATGCCATTGTTTGGAGGCGTGGCAGACAGCACCGCACTCGCACTCGAACACTCAAAAATAAATACTAAAATATAGGAGCAGAGTCATGCTGGGAAACACAGGCTAAAACTAATGTGCTTCTCACACTGGGTTGTGTATCTCTGTTTAGATCAAAATTATACAGATGCAAGGGGATTAAAAGATAGTTCAAATAGTTTAAATACACAAATACACAACCCAAGTTAAAAGGCACACATAAATGCTCGCAAATCTCAGATCTCTCGTAACTAGAAACTAAAACTAAATGCATACAGGGTAACCTATAACCGAATGTCTGGTATGTAATAATATATATATATATCGTATATCCCTGTAGCAGCGCATCGTCGGAGAGCTGAGGGGGCTGAGGACGCCGCCTGGAGGTCCTGGACCAGTCTGATATGTGTGGTGTCCTTCTCCAATGTCCCGACTCGCCCCCAGCCAAGCCCCCAGCTCCGTCTTCCTTCTCCGGATCCCTTGTTCCTCCTCCTTTGAAGCCCTCAAGTCTAGACAAAGGTCTCGCGGATGACGGTGCCGTTGCTACTGGTGCTTAGATCTTAGAACTCGGTTGATTGTCAGACGAACGACGAGAAGCCGGGCAGTGGTGCCCTCGATCTGGCCATATTATTGACGATAATCTGGCCACCATTGAGGCTCATCACTGCACTGCCCTCCGGCTCTGAGTCGGTGTAGCTGGAGTAGTTCCGCACCGGTTTGGTCTTCTTCCACGACTGCCGCAGTGAGTCGTTGACGTTGGCATAGTGATTCACAAACGAATGCGGATCACTGCGCACGCTCTCGTTTTCGCTCTCCGAATGCTGAATGAAAAAATGAAAATGGTTGAGATTATAAATTAAAATTCCATTGAACAACACACGTTATTTGTTTTTGTTAGAAACTCAAGACTTTATACAAACAGAAAAACATGAGGGAAACACGATCTAGTCCACATGTCTTGAGCATTAGTATTCATCAAGCAGGCAAACGGTCCTTAGTAAAATATGTTCTTTTCGTGATAAATCTTGGTTGCTTTCAAATAACATAATGAATTTGAAATTTAGTTGGGTTAGTAATGGGTTAGTTGGGTTATTACTTCTCTAAATATATCGTATTATTCAAGTTAAGTAAACCAATTGGGCAATTTAGTTTCTAAAGTGCTTCAGGTTTAGGTTTAAAGTTAGTAGTTAATATATATTTCTTTCTAGCAATAGCATATTTTACTTGGTCTCTGTTTTTCCCTCAACTCACCTGCGATGCCTCCGAACTGCTCACCTCCGAGGGCTTCTCGGTTACACTGCTGTCGTCCGGATTCTCGTCGTAGCACTTCAAGCTCTCCTCGTCGCTGTGGTAGGCCACGGAGGCGGGCGAGGGGCGTGGCGGACTCTTGCCGAGATGGACGCCCGGCGGCGGTCGATTGGTGGACTTCCTGCCCAGAGTGCCCAAGGTGCCGCTGCGCAGAGTGCCCACGCTGTTCAGTGTGCCGGTTCCAACGCCGTGACGAGAGCGATACAACTCCAAAGCCAACTCCTGTCGCTCGTCAATGGACATGGCCATGGACTCCTCCAGCGTCTTCTGGGCCTCCTCTGCAAGTAATTGAATCTCAGTTATTTAAAGCTATTATCTCTTTAAAAAATATAAACTTACGCTTATATTTGTAGCTCTTGCTCTTGACACACAGCACCGCAATGACCATCACTATGATCACAATCGAGGTGGCCGCCAGTGAGACCATAAACCAGGTTTGCCGATAGAACGGCTTGTGCTGCAGATAGCCATATTCCAGGTGCAGTTTCGAGGGCGTCAGGATCGAGTCCTTGGAGTAAACGGGAAACGAAATGCCATAGCGATTGTATGCAATCACCCGGAATGTGTACGCCGTCGAGGGCATCAGGATGTGATAGCTGACCGTAAAGTCCTGCATCATGCCCTTCCTGGTCTGCTCGATTTTCGTCCAGCGGGAATCGTCTGCGGATTATGGGCGAGAAAAGTTAGACTTGTGCTTGGAAAATAGGGAAACATTAAGAGGAACTAAATAGAGTTTCAAATAAATAGATTTAAATTAAATAATTATATTTGCTAATTTATAATGCGAAGAAAAAAAATATAGTTAAATGGAGGAAAGATTTTTAAATCAGTTTTAGTAAGAAATTTGTCAATAAAATACTAATAATAATAATAATAAAAAAATACATAAAAGAATTAAGGAATCTTTTTTTTAGAATTAACCTAAATCATTATTGCTTAAATTCTAAATTTTCTACGGCACAGCAATACTTACAAACAAATGACGGCTCTCCTTTTTCTACGCAAGCATTTCAAAAGATGTTGTTTTTTTTGAGTTTTTTGTTATTATAGTTTTTGGAAAAGAATTTGTCATTTTATAACCAAGTCACCAAAGAGTAGTAGTAATCGAATGCAAAATAGGAGAGAGATACGGAGAGATTATGTAGTAAATGCAATTCCAAAACCAGATCTACAAGATCTACAGAGAAACACGGCAACTTACCCCGCTTCTTGGCCTCTATGAGGTAACCCAAAATGGGTCCCCTTCCCGACGGCCCATTGATCCAGTGCATCTCGACGCTGGACAGCGTCTTGGTCAAGATGAGATCTCGTGGCGCCACGGGGGATCCATCTTGGGGTCCCGTCGTCACATTCTCACTCACACCCGGTCCGTAGTCCACGGACGTTTGAGCCCGCACCGTAAAAGTGTAGGTTACCTCCTCCTCCAGATTCTGCACACGAAGTGTGGTATTGGATACCTTCTGCTTCACCTGCTTGCTAAATTCTGTGGGCGATTCAAGTTTAGTTTAACCAATGATTAATGATTATTGACTGGAACTCACTCTCATTCTCCTCGGTGGTTTCGTAGGTTACCAGGTAGCCCAAAATCTCGCCGTTTAAGAACTTCGGTGGATCCCAGGTGACCTCCAGGCTCTGCATCGTGATGTCCGAGAAGCGCAGATGAAGCGGAGCACTCGGCACTCCTGGCAGCGTCTTCACAGTAATCGGGGCTGATCTTGGGCCATCTCCTGCTGGGTTAAAGGCCAGCAATTGGATGCGATACTCGGTGAACTTGTCGAGAAAGACGAGACTGTGCGAAGTGGCCGTGGCCGAGACCACCTCGATTTCCTCCTCCCACTTGCGCCCAGGCTCCAGTGCCTGCGGTGAATAGGTGACCAGATAGTAGATCTTATAGCCCAGAATATCGCCATTCTGCATGCTCTGCTTCGGTGGCTTCCACAGCAGACGCACTTCGGTGCTGGAAATGGGAGCTGCGTCCACGGCTCGCGGTTCGCCCGTCGGCACCGCCTCGCCCACATACACCGCCGCGGGGGGCGTGGCAGGTCCTGGACCCTGCGAATTAAACGGCAACACCACAATCTCATAGTTTCGATCCTGCTGAAGATCCGATAGCACCACACTATTCTCATTGATCCCGTGCACATCCGTTTTGGGTGTCGACTGCAGGGCGGTGGGAAAATCGGAGAGTTGCTGATACAGAATCCTATAGCCACCGGTTCCCGCATCACCATTCCACATTCCCGTCTCCAGAGCACTCCACTGCACTCGCACCGATGTCGTGGTGATGGGCACCACCTTTAAACCTCCCACTCCAACGGCCGGAGCAGCTGGCAAAGTTCTAACCACCACACTTTCGCGACTAAAGGCCGAGGGTCCCAGATCGTTGGTGGCCTGTATGCGAAACTGATACGTCATATAGGGTCTCAATCCGAGTGCTGTGTACGAACTCAGCAGCGGATCCACTCGCTCCGGCAGCGGCTGCCACCTGCCCTCGTTCTCGCGCATCTCGACGGTGTAGTAACGCAGTGGGGCGAAGCCATCCCTTCCCGGTGTCCAACTGAAGGTGATCTGATGCGCCTGAATCTGACTGCGTGATATCTGCGGCACTGACGGCGCCTGCGGACGCTCCCTATTATTAGTGGTGTACACCAGTGCCGTGGCTATCTTGCCCCAACCCAAACGCGTCTGGGCCGTGCAACTAAAACTGTAATACTTCTCGGGCAGCAGACCGGTGGCCCGGAATGTTCGATCCGAGGGCGGAAACTCGCGACTGTAGTTCAACATGGCACTGCCATTCAGGGTGTAGGTGACCTGATATGCCAGAATCTCGCCATTCGGATCCATGGGCACATCCCAGATGATGCGAGCCATGGTCAAAGTGACATCGGGAAAGCTAACATTCGACGGAACACCCGGGGTATCCTCAAAGGTCTGAACCCTGATGGGTGGAGTACTCAAAGCACCATTACCCAAACGCGTGTAGGCCAAAACCTGAACGTGATAGACCACAAACTTCTTCAATTCCGTCAGGGTTGTGGTAAATGTGGCATTGTTCGGTATCGTCTTGTGCAGCACCTTTTGCTCCCGATCCGTCGCCGCATAGAAAACTTTGTACCCATCGATCTGGCCATTCCTGTGCTGCGGCGGCACTTCGCCCCATTGCACCACCACTGTGGTCGATGTCGTGGCATTCGCCTGGACATCCAGTGGCCCATAGCTGGGCACCGCTTCCCGGGTCCTCTCCACCGCCGTCTCGCTCTCCTTGGAGCAGCCCACATCGTTGCAGGCATTCATCTTCACCTCGTACAGCGTCCACTCCTCCAGGCCGTCGAGCACATGCGAATTGGCCGTATGATCTTCGATGACCACCGAACGTGGTAGATATTTTACGGTGCCGGGTGCCTTGACCACCTGCTTGTAGGATATATTATAGCCCCTGGGATTGCCATACCACTCGGTCTGTTGCAGCGGAATCCAACGAACTCGCAGCTGCTGGGCACTCATTGCCCTCACCGTCACATTGAATGGCGGATGTTTGGGCCTCGCCTGAATGGTCTGGAAATCTTTCGTAGCCTCCGAGGGTTTCGAACTGCCCACCACATTGCTGGCACTCAATCTCATTCGATATTGGGTGAATGGCACTAGACCCGTGACAGTCAAAGTCTCTGCATCGGGATCGTTGATCTCGCAAATGGTGAACCATGTCATATTCCTTGCCGTCTGACCCTCAACCTTCCACTTGGTAATGCTCGAGTTCCCATCGAAACCTGGCGTAAATTGCAGCACCACGGAGAAGGCCTCGATATTGGACAGGGCCAAGCTGGTGGGAGCGTGGGGAAGGACTGGCTCCACGCCCGATTGAATGGTCGCCGTTTTCGGAGTGCCACTGCCCACGCGCGTCCAGGCAAAGATCTCGAACCAATAGTGTGTGGTGGCCTGCAGCTGATTCACCGTCAATTCGGTATCATCAGCAGTCAGGTTAAATGATTTCAGGGTATCCGGACGATCTTTGACTTGGTAACGAACCGTGTAGCCTGTTAAAATGCCGTTTGAATAGCGTGGCGGTGACCAGAGAACCTTCACCGATCGATCGGAGACATCATCGAAATGCAAGGCGGTGATCTCGTCGGGCACATCATCCTGCGTCATCACGGGCACTTGGATACTGGCCACACCATCGCCGGGATCCGTGAAGCACAGCACGCTGATATTGTACTCGGTGAACTTCTCCAGGCCACCAAGAATGGCCGTCTGTTCGGCCAGTGGATCGATGAGACTCGGCGGCACCGTCTTCATCCGTCTCTCGATATCCTTCCACTCGCCATCGATCAATCGTCTTTGCCATGCCTGAATCTTGTAGCCCTGATTGATGCCATTTATCTGCTGCGGATTGGGGGGTGTCCATCGGCATCTGGCGGCCGTCGAATTGATCGCCTCCACTTTCACATTCGTCGGCGGTGCCTCGGGTACTCCCTCCTTGGTCTTGATCTTCGAACCCTCGGTGTAAACGCCCACGCCCATGTTGTTGTAGGCGGCGATCTGTACAATGTAATCCTTCCATGTGATCAGCTCCTGGATGAGAAAGTTGCGCTGTGCTTCGTTGGTGATATTCTGATAGGACCATGGCACATTGTTGTAGCCAAAGAGGCGATAGCGCAGTATGTAGCCAAGGATCTGGCCGTTGCGATGCTCCTCCAGAGGCGGTTGCCACTGCGAGATGATCTCCGACATGGAGCGAGCGGATCCAACGAAGCCCACCGGCGGACCGGAAGGAGCTAAACAGGTAATACATATTAGTGGGATATCATTTAATGTGTTTTTAGTCCACCTAATGGAGAGTCTGTACTTCTCTCTGGGTTTTTTCTTTCGAGTGTGTGTGTGATTTGTGTGGATCTTAAAACTGGGGACGTGAATCTGGGCTATATATGTATATACCTCGGTGAAGCGGAAACTCTACGCGCAGGCGGGCGACCAACGGCGATTTTCAAATTTCATTTTCGTGATGACAACGATAGCAGTTAAAAGTACAATTCATATACAGGGTATTTAGCATTAGTTCTTTACACTATACATGGGTATATACGGGCTATATATCAATATATATATTATTTAATTTAATCAGTAAAACGAAATCAAATACAATTTATAAACTGCAAGTTTACAAAATAAACTAACGAGTATAAAAAAAAAATAAATATTTTAAATACATTTAATTTCAGTAAAATCAGATAATGTTAAAATCGTTAGGTTTACAAACTTTTAAGATCTTTGAACGAGTTTTAATAAAATAAATATATTTATCAATTCGGTTAAAAAAAAAAAAAAAAAAACGCTAAATACATTAGCTTTAAATTTAAAAATATTCACAAATCAAATGAAGCCAACTTAGAGAAAAGCAATACAACACACACACAATATACGTTACAATACTAAATAGTACGAGATGCACAAAATGAGGATCGGAACCCCGAAAAGCGGGGATCATTGGCGGTTTTTTTTTTTTGGATCGGTACTCACCTTCCTGGGGCAGTTCGACCACATTACTGGGTTCCGATGGCGAACCCTCGCCCACGCGATTTACGGCACTAACCCTAAACTGATAGACGGTGGCGGCCTTGAGGTTCTCGAGCAGGATCCATCGTTGATCCGCCGAGACATTGCTCAGTTCGGTGATCCAGTTGAGCAGAGGGTCTGGAACTGGACCTACGAATTTTTCTGTGATGTTAATGTGTTTGGAAAAAACAGCAGGCGGGCGGGATTATGGTGAAGTGTAATGGTGAAAAGTGTGTGAGTGGGATATAGAGATTGAGGTGCGATTTAAGTGTTATGGTGGATTGGTGAAAGTGATGTACAATTATATTATTTTGGTTTTGGTGAAAAGTGTGTAGATTACAGCGTGTTCCGTTTGGTGGTGATGATGTTGTTGTTGTTGATGTTGATGTGAACGCGATGAAAACAAAGTGCAAAACAACAAATTACAATTGAAAATTAGACAACGAATATGTACAAATACAATATACAACAATAATACGATTAATATAATTATTACAGTTCATAAAATTTCGGTTCGTTCCAGTTGGTTGGTGTTGTTCAAAATCAAATTTAATGGAAGAAAAGAGAGAACAAAAAGAAACGGATCAAAATCTTGGTTTCCTTTGTGTTTGACTGTAATGAGTTCCTAAATTAAGTTTGTGGTTCGTGGTTCCTAATGTATTTCATATCTAAAAAATTTTAGTCTTCTCGAACAGCAATAAAAACCGTCTACTTATTGTTAATATATTTTCTAAACTAGCAGAAAATCTAAAAAATATTCTTAAGGACTAGATGTATTTTCTATAAATGAGTTTTCCATTTAGTATATATATATAGAAAGTATTTATTTTCTCTGTCCAACATTTTTGCTTATAAATGGCAACCGAGTACGCTTTCACCCCACTCCTCGTAAATCATAAATCCAATACTAACCATAACCACCACAACCCAAAAAACTCTACGCTACCGGGAAAATATATATACGTTCGTATGTATATATATATAGAGATAAAAGTGGCCAACGAAACTTACCCAATTCGGAGACCTCACGTCGCTGGATAATAAATTTGGATATTGGACTGTTGCCATCGAATCCCGGTGTCCAGGACACGTTGATGCTGCGCTGTTGCGGCTCCGGCAGTCGTTCCACCTTCACATTGCTCGGCGGGAACGGCAGTTCGATGACGCTGAGGCGAGCGGCCCGCGTCTCATTTCCCCCGGGCGAGGTGACCACACAGGCATAACTGCCCACGTCGCTGGCCCGCACCGCCTGGATCTCCAGCTGCCCGTCCGCCTGGACGCCAATGCGCTGCGAATTACTGATGGGCGTCGCCGACTGACCCTCGCGATACCAGTCGATGTTGTACGGCACACTGGGATCACTGGACACCTTGCACTGCAGCGTGGCCGTCAGGCCAAGTAGCACCGTTGTGTCCACCGGCGGCTGGATGATTTGTGTCCGCACTGCGGGGAAAAAGAGAGCAGAGAAAGTGGCAAGGATAAAAAAGAGAAAATATATAAGGGGAAGGAGGCGGAGATGGGAACACATTAACAACACGGCAATGCAGATTAAACGACCGCAAGTTGTGTGGCAAATGACAAGTCGCGACAGGCCCGCCCACTTTTATTGCCCGGCTACTGGCGCCCCCTTTCGGCTTATCCCGTAACCCGAAGAGAATCCCAATCCCAGGTGGGGAAAATGAAGTTTAAAACTGACACACGAAGCCCGTATGGCAAACACCCTGAATTTATGGGGTCTTTTTGGAAGTTCTGTAAATTAATGGCATTTATAAAAACCAGAACCATAAGTCTTAATAAATAAAATGAATTTTTATAATATGTTATTTCTAATCTGCAATTCATAGCTTTTCAAAATACATTTTTTCTATATAGTTTATATCCCTCAAATGATCTTTACTTTACAGGGTATTGCGTAGTCTTTGAGCCAACCACTGCACACTTGCAGGCAGGCAGGCACATGTGCCCCCTTCGTTTGTTCCCTTTATGTATGGCTTTCTCTTTTGATTTTATTTATTTTACGCTTTTTCTTCCTTTTTTCTTTACTCTCTTCTTCTTCTTTTTTTTAGCTCTTTTCAGTCACTTGGTGGCCCGCATGCATCAAAAGTTCAACGCGCCCCGTGGCCCAGACATTTGTTGGTGGTATTGGTAGTGGTGCTACTGGTGCTATATGGTGGTTCTGCCGATGGTGTTGGTTCCGTTCCGTTCCGCTGGTGTTATAGTTGTTCTTGTTGTTGTCGGTCTGTTTGCCATAAGCCAAGTTGTTCCCCATATGGGACGAGATGAACTACACTGCATTGCACTGAACGGCACGGGCAAAAGGTCCACAAATGAACCTGGTGTGCCATTCAGCCTCTATAGTGATACCCTTGGATAAGAGGTATTATACAACATATTGGTATCCTTAACTTTTAAACTGTCTAGCTTAAGTATACATATTAATACTAAGTCCATTTAGATGCCTAAATAATAAGTTTATCAAAGGGTTGATGCCGGTCCACCCGGGGGCGCCAAAGATTTGAAAACCACTGTATTGTTAATATATCTCAACTGAAATAGCATTTAATAGCTTTTAAACTGTCTAGCTGATGTATAAATATTAATACTAAGTCCATTTAGATGCCTAAATAATAAAGGACTGATGTCGATCCACCCGGGGGCGCCAAAGATTTGAAAACCGCTGTATTGTTAATATATCTTAACTAAAAAGTGTATTTAAAACATCGCTATCCGCTATCCGCCTAGAAAAGAGCCTCTTCGGTTCGCTCCTTTTTATTTCATTGTGCGACTGGTGCATGGTGTTTTATGCAACACACAAATAAAGCCAGGAGGCGGCTGTTGGGTTAAAGGGGTGATGGAAAACTGCCATCAGCACCAGTGGCCACAGTCCACGGAGTCCACAGAGTCCACGGGCCGCATTCCGGCGTTTTGCCAATTAGCCGCACATTGATGCTGCCTTTTAGGACCGCACACACGTGCCAAACGCACAACACACTCGTGTGCTCAGGGCCAAAAATATTGCATGTGCAAATCAACTTTAATTACACAAACAACACAATGGACAGAGCGAAACGAGTGGCGAGTGGCAGGCAGTACAAAAACACAAAACCCTTAAAAAATCATTTGAAGCTTTTGGATTTTCTGGTTTCACTGGCGCTTTTGGTCTTGCAAAAAGTCAAAGCCATATGCCCATTTAACATAGAGACATATACTCGTACATGTGTGTGGAAATTGTACTAGGTCTGGGTATTTTTCGTATTTCGTATTATCCCAAAAGCAATTGACGCTGCCCAGGAGGGAGCACTTCAAATGGAACCCATCGTGGTTGTTGTTGTCACTGCTTTGGTTGTTGGCATTATTATTATGCCTTGTTGATGTTGCTGCTGTTGTTGTGGCTGCTGCGGCTTTGATGACATACATTATTATTATTGGACCATGCATTTTAGTTGATTTGATGCGATGTTAGGGCCACACTAACGCACAGATAACAACCTACATATGTGGCAGCAGATGCACGGAAAAAAAACACGTATACTTAAACCTAAAAGAAAATACTTGGTATTAGGAAAATACCTATTAAATATTTTATACTATGCCATGTATTATAAAATCAAAAAGAATTCTTTTCAAATATAAAATCATGAAATTTTTAACAGTGACTTAGCGCCAGTTGAAATTGATATTTTTCTGTGTGTGCACCAAAATGTCATTGGCAATCATTTGGCGATAGAGAGGTAGATAGTAGATAGATATACATATAAAGGATGAGGGGTGGGAAGCCAAAACAGGTGCACAAACAACTGTCTGTTTAATGGAGAAAATTTTTGGTAAGTAAACTCAATTTGAATCTCTTTTGTGGTTACACAAGAGTTTTCGGTGGGCGGCGGATGACAGCATTTCAGTAACAGTCGCAGGATGTGCCAACATCAAAGCCCTGCGATTGAACAATTGATGGGGGAGTAGCGGGTTAAATCGAGATGGTAGACTGAGGAATTATTTAGCTCAAGTAAGAGTTAGGGCTACAAAAAATTTAATTCTATTAAAAGGATGAATTTATTTTATTTTATAATATAGTAAATTTTACTTAAATCTATTAAAGCTTTCTTATTGAGTAGCATTTACAACGGTAATAGCATTTTAATATATATTTATCCTTTAGCAAAAATAAACAATAGATATGCAGAGGGTTATTTGAATATCTGAAACATAAATATGCAAACAGAGAAACTAAAATGCTGAAAGCTTAGTTTGGTTATTTTTTTTAAAGGGGAAAGGGAAACAACTAATGGACAAGCAAAGTCTAAACTGTGCATGCTTTCGGACTAGCTTAAATACTTTAAATGCGTATATTAACAGGGGTTAAAAGCTCTGGGTCCCCCCCATATTCCGGTAAAGAGTTCAAAAAGGGCTGGCTACATATATATATATATAAAACATAAAAGCCCCGCTAACTAAAACGCTAACACTCAAAGGGCGCCCGACTAGACAGACGCACTTGAAACTAACAGACGGGCGGCAGGCAATTAGATTAGAATTGTGGGAAGGGGATCCTTGCTGGTTACTGGATCCTGCAGGATGGATGGCTGGGGGGTTGGCAAAAGGGGAACTCACCCAAAACACTCAAATAGGCCTCGCCCTTGACGCTGCCCGCCTCGTTGGCCCGCACGCAGATATACAGACCCGCGTCCACGGATCGGATGTTCGAGATGAGCAGGTCACCCGATTCGAGTATCTGCACCCGGCTGGATATATCCACCAGTTGGGTCTCTGGATTTCGGATGGATGGGTTATTTTTTGGCAGGTGGTTGGTTGGTTGGTTGGCACGCAGCAAGCAGTTTTGTTAGCATTACAAGTTGGTTTTGGTTTTGGTTAGCGGGCAAACAGATAAAAAAAATATAAAAAAATATTAGCATTATAATCATCATCATCTAGCCATGCTGTAGGTTAGTATCCTTGCAAAACTCACCGTTATATATCCAGGTTATATTCGGATTGGGCGATCCTACGGCCCGGCAGGAAATAGTCGCGTCCTTGCCATCCAAAGCGGTGACATTCTGGGGCGGCAACTCCATAATCGGAGCCGATGCTGCGGAAATTTAAATACATTCGATTACAATTAGGCCACAATTAACTTTAAAGGTAAAATCACGGTGGGTTTTTAGGCTAGATTCAACGCAATTAGTGGTTAAGTAAGGTGGGTGTGTGTGTTTGTAAGTAGGGTGTAATTAGGGTGGTTCTTTGTTTATTTTTTTTTCATTCAGCTTGTAAGGAAAATCTGTGAAGCTGAAACAAAAATTAATTGAATTAAATCTACTGCAAAAATTGCTGATGAATAAACAATAAGGGATATTTACATATATGTGTAAGCCTATGAAAGATACTGTTAAATAATTAAATGCTCAAAAACATGACAAAATACGTGACGAAAAAAATATTTGAATGTTAATATAAAATATGCATATGTCTGGATTTTGTGCAAGTTTTTTACAAAACTCAAATTGTTTTGTTTTTCCTATTTTTTTTGGCTGTTAAGGGGAAAGCTCTTTTTATTCAGCTGATTTAACTACCGTTTTCAAATGTTTACCTTGTCTTAAAATTAATTATTTATTTGCCGTTAAATAATTCCGTGTTTACAAAATACAGTTTTCGTCGTAACAAAATTAATTTTATTTTATTTGCCCATCGCAACCGTTTGAAAAAATCAAATAAAAGCTTATTTATTTAAGGGCAATACACTGGTATATTTATTATGAAAACTCCTCTCTTTTGTCACACCATTTATGGCCACCGTTTAACCATTTAACCATAACTAGTTATTTTAATCCCCCAATCGTGTTTCCCATCACTTGGCCCTCAATTGATTGCAATTGATACGTTTTCTTTTGATTAACTGCTCCATTGACTCAATCCACCTTTCACTTTCGTGTGCCGTGCTGACTTTTGCAATTATGATTACACCAAATTAAAGGCTGGCCAATTAATCATGCTGCCTCCTTGGTCGCATCAGGTGGATGGATCCAGTATATATATAGTATAGCTCCCTTCGACCTTCCCCATTCCTCAGAACGTTTGGCTCCATTTGGCGCCCTTTCACTTGCTGCTGCTGCTGCTGCTGGTTAATGTAAATTATTTATTGGATTTTGAGTGGCACGACGGCTGCCTGTTTCTGTTTCTGCTGCTGTTTCTCCTGTTTTTGCCTGTTTTCATTGTTATGGCCAAATGCCATTCGCTCGAAGGCCGAAACTGAGGCTGCTTTTAACTGTTTTTGCTACTGGCAGCAACGACGAGTCGAGCGTCGAGTCGTCGAGCGCAAATGTAATAATATTCGTAATAATTTCGCATGATGAAGCATTCCCGTTAACTACGCTTATGTAAATAAGTGCATAAAATTACAATAAAAGCACCACCACCACCACCACACTGCCTCCTGCCCCTTGGCTCCTTGCAACATTAAGATATTAAGTGCTCGCTGTTGCAGTTTGCAATTGTTGCGGGAAATCATAAAGACATCAACTCTGCTTGATACTACTATGGCTGCAGCGCAGAAAAATAAATATAAATAAAAAGGAAAGGGAAATCCAAAGGGTTGGGAAAAATTGCAGGCAACAGACCAACTTTAAGTCGGGGTTAAATATGATTAAGCAAGCAACTTCTGTATGATATGCCATTAAAGGACAATTAAGCTGCAGAACATTGGGTTTAATTTTGGTATGGAAAATTTAAAGGCAAAGTATATAGTATATACTATATATCCGACCCGGATAACTCCTTTGCCCGGGCAACGTGTTAAGTGTGCTTAAGCTGCCCCGGTGGTCAGTACCCAGCCCCCAACCCCCTCTCACTTTTCCAGGGTCTTTTGGCCCGGTTTTTATGGCTCACGCAAGGCGCATATTAAAGACACGGAAAGGCAAGGAGCTCCTGAAAAGGAGAAACAATTTGTGGCAGGATTCGCCAGGGAGACCTAAAACACACGAAAAATAAAATAAAATATAAAAGCACCTGCATCTAGGCAGAGTGCTTAGCATAAATTCAAACTAAATCGAAGTCAAGTTCGCAAATGATTTATGCCCAACAATCAAACGGAGCGTATACGTAATGTATATTAAGTATACGTTAGGTGTACACTGTACACAATGAAAAACAAGCACTACTTCTTCTTGATTTTTTTTTAAATATTTATATAATTAAAAGAAGACTATTTCCCTTACAAATTCCACAAGTAAATGCTGCCTATGTACTTTTTGAGATATTTTCTTGAATGTATGGCCACTTGGGCCATTTTCATTTGCCTTCATCAACGGGGTTGGCTGTAATTAATTTCGAGTTGACCCACTAAAGAGGCCGCGCCATCAACTTAAAGTCATAATAAAACGCTCACTCAGCCGGACAAGTGGGAAAAGTGGGTGATGGTGTGGAAAACTGGGTGGAAAACTGGCCATTACTTGGCCATTGAAGTGGCCACCCGTTCCAGCAGTCCAACATTAGCATGCGAATTGTTTTTAGCCCTCGTGCCGCCGCCTTTGTGCCGGGCTCTAAAATTTCCAGCCCCTCCCCTCCTCCAATTTGGCGGCGCTTAAACGGTTTTTCGCTTTCCACCCGTTTTCCTTTTGCAGCAGCGCCCTTTTCTTATTTTAATAAGCATAAAGAACCGCTTTTCAAGGGTCCCCATTCTTTGAGCTGCACCATTTTTGATACAGACTTTCTGACTAATCGAAAAGCGCTCTTCAGAAATGCTTAATTATGGAAGTAATCGAATTGAGGGGTGATTGAAAACAAATTGAGAAATATGTTTCGATAATTGGCTAAACTGGTTGCCTTTAATTGGACATAATTAAATATTAAACCATTGTTGGTTATATTATTATTATTTAAATGAAACAAAGAATAATGGAACATAACAGATTTTTTAATGGACTACTTTTGCGGTTCATACAAAATTATTCATACCCATTTAAAATAGCCAAAATTACTATACGAAAATGTATAGTAATTTTACTCAAGGAATTTGAAACTCCATTTTATGGGCTTGGCATGTCGCAGACCAATCAACTCGAAACTCCAACGTCCGCTGCAATCAATCACTGGGGCGGCATGGGGTTAAGCTATGCTGACCCCTGACCTCTGACGAATACGCCACCTGTTGGCGGGGCCATGGAAAACGAAAATGTATACAAAAACGAAAAACGAAACTTTTCGACTGAGCAAATAAAAGAAAATTTCTACAAATTCGCACAGTGGAAATCGCATTGAGCCATCAGGCAAACGGAAAGGAAGTGAAACAGCCACGCCCACCCCGCCCCAAAAGTCACCTAATTACTCACACACATACACAAACAAATAAAAGGGGGAGGGAGGTGGCTTTTGGGCGGTGGGTGTTAAGTGCAGGCACCTTGGAAATGGCAGGAAGCGGCGATTAAAATCACTTTTGCGTTTCGGGAAATTACGAAATTATGTTACTCGAGAGTTGAGGCAGCCGGGAAAAGGAAAAGCTCAGGCAGCCGGAAAATGCGATGTGGAAAACTCTGACTGTGGCAGGTGCACGAGTACGGCGAGCGTAGCGCAGATTTACGCCAACTTAACAAAAATGAAGTGAAGCTCCGCTTTGCTCTGTTCCAGAGAAAAGGCCAACAGAGAAAGATGCAAAACTTTGACAAACACTGGGCGGCAGCGGCAGGAGGTGCAATTAAAATGCAGCCAGTTCAGGTCTTAGGACCTGTTCCAAGTGGAACACCCCGGCACATCCTCGCCGTTGAACGCGAAAGGCTGGAAAATAATTTCCCAACTCAACTTCTTCGCCTATCTAAGTGAAAAGTGCTCCGGCACAAGGATTATCCCTCAAGTGGCCTTCCAAGCGGAAAATAGAGAAGGGTTCTGTTTCTGTTTCTGGATAGACTAGTCAGTCGACTGACGGGGGGAAATCAGCAATACAAATGCCAAACACTTGTTGCCATAGCAAGAAAGGGGAAGCGGGAGAAGGGGTGGGAAATGGCGGAGGATGCGGAGGAGCAGCTCCACCAGCAGATAAACGAGCGCACAAACAATAAACGAAAGAAATTGCAAAATGAAATCAAGCGAGTCCCAAGTGCGCGACTTGAGAAGCGCAGAGAAGGGCGCCCGGTTGGGAACAGGATTAAACCTGAGCACTGAAAAATTGAACAGCAACAAGAAGGGGATTTAAATATCCAAATTAGGCGTCCCCTTAAGTTTTGATCCTTTTCATAATGCAAAGTATTGAGACTTTCTCAACATTAATTGTCTCGAATCTCCTTTATTATAAAGAGATTATTTTTTCCAGTGTAAGACCCCGGTAAATAGCTCAGGGAGTGTTGAACCGGACCCGTTGGGTAATCGAATCAAAGAGACCGAGACGTAGAGTCAAACATCAAGCGGCCAAAGGTGTTCATAATCCGATTCTGATCCTGATCTGGATTATCTCGGCATAGACCAATTACGAGGCTGGCTCACTGCTGTGGAAAAAAAGGGACTAGGAGAGGGAGAGGGACTACATGGACCGATGAGGAGGGGTCACGGCGCACACACTCTCACCCGGAAACAAAGCCGATTAGGCCGGCAGCAGCTCCTTCTTCATCCTGTTGGCCAACAGATAGGACCATGAATAGGACCAACTGCAGTCAGACACAACAGAGAAACTTCTGCTCCAGCTTCTGCTTCTCCAGGCAATAAAACTTATCCTCGAGATAGGGATAGACTACTGGGCAAAGAATTAGGGACTTGGAGAGGCTAAATGATGGCCCCGCCGCCCAGGATCGTAAAATGCGCTGGCGCAGACAAACAAATTGACTCGAATTAGCCTAGGCAAATAAAATTAAATGAGCCGCAACGATTGGTTACCATTCAGTCATGCCGGGGGAGCAAAAAATATCTGAAACTTGCCCAAGCCAACTATAAAAGCTGCAAAGTTTTTCAATAAACCGCTGACGACAAAATCTCTTAACTAGTTTAACTCGAATACAATGCAGCAGGGCTGCAAGAAATATAAAAAAAGAAGGAAAGAAGATAAAAATAGATGGAAATGAAGCAGGGCGATGCTGCAACATAAGAATAACTCAGCAAAATATGCATGGAAATTTCAAATTTACATGAAAATCCCAGCACTGGCCATAAAAATTTAAGCGATGAGGGGGGCAGCGCAAACTTTGCTTAAAGTCCCATCAAGAAAGACACAGAGACAAAACTTATTTTAGACCCGCAAAACAATATGTCCTTCGTCCTTCCGTCAAAGGACTCCTACTCGGCGCTCAACTCGCTCTCTCTGTCAAATATTTAAAACGTCAGCGAAGGAGTCACTCGCTTTTTGGGTTAGGCTCATGAATGAGGAATTATTCTCCGGCCAGTCAGTCAAGTCAGGGAGTCGGGAACTTCGAACTTCGAGCCAAAAAACAAAAAAAGAAAGGAAAATGATGTCATGTCAGCATGACAGGAAACTCAGGACTCGGGAATCTCTTGTCCCCAGAAGTGTGACTTGTGTGTCAGTCTTAATTTTCGCATTATGAAATTCATTAAAATGCAAAATTGTCCCACAGCAAGTCATATTCCGAGTGGGAGTGTCTTTTTTGTTTTTTCGGGAGTGGGTGGCAACCCTAAGGCAGCCATTTGACCCAGCACTTAACGGTACTTGGGAGCCTTTGAAGGTAAAAGTCCTAACTCATATACTTATATTAGCCGTCACTCAATATGACAAATTCATAACAACCCATTTAAATGGAAGGTATGGTAACTGCAAATTTTATTAAGGGGTTATATTTAAATTGTGTGCTTATAAATTAGTAAATTTAAGGGATGATTAAACTAGGTGCCACTAGTAACTACAAGTTAAGTAATAGTTGGAGTAAGATTTTACTATAGGTCATATATTTTTTGTTCACCCATTTAAATGGTATTTAAAATGTAACCGTATTTTTTCAGAGTAACCAAATGCCTTAAAAATAGACAAAGGCTCCAAGATAAATCAAGGTAAATGGAGAAAAATGCTGCTTTTTGTTGTGGATATAAAGATTCATTAGATTAACCATGGCAGGAGTGTTTGTGTTGATCCAACAGAAAGTGGTGAAGGTTGCCGGCGACTAATCAACTTGAATGAAAAATTTTTCTGCTTTTGACAAATTTGATAAAGCAACAGAATGGAATAGAGGGAATAGAGCAGATGAAATTCCTACTGCTCCTGTTGGCCAAAGGCGCTTTTGGCTAAGACTGCAAAACGAGGCAGCTCCGCCAGAGCCGTAGGGTGAAAAACAAATTAAGAATGGTCCATGATGATGGTCCATGGCACAAAAAAGGAAGATGAAACGGAAGCGAGGGAAACGAGCCAAAAGAATACTTGCAGATAATATTTAAGCTTAGACTTAGGAGCCCCAAAGGCAGTAAAATAACAGCAAGCCAAGCCAATAAAACAACAAATTCAATCGCAAAACAATCAAAAGAGCTACTTTCTAGGGGGTATTCTTATACATACATATATATGACTTGAGGGATGTATTTTAGGCGGGGGTGAATGGGATGTGCAAGACTATATATTGTGGTGCAAATAAGTGTGAGTGTGATTTTGTGTGTGTTTTTTGTGCGGCATTTAGCTGCATGCCCATACCAAAGCGAAACTCCTTGCGTCTACCGGAGGAACCTGATCCCGATCCCGATCCCGATCCCTTTTCCGATCCCAAGCCAGCATGCGAAGCTCTTACCCTCAGGATTCGCGGCTGGGCCAAACGCTTCACGCGGATCTTGGCCGTTTTTGCTATGAATTCGTTTGTTAATCATGGGTTAAAAGGTCAAAATGCAAAAATGGTTAGGGGGATATCATAGAAAATGTATAGATATGACATGGAGGCATATGGAAAGAGCACTTGTTTAGTATATACCAATGTGAAAGGCATTCAGGCATCAGCTAACACTGTGTGACATTGGAAATTCACCAAAATATTATTATAATTCAATGTGTTTTTTTTTTAAGAATTATAAAGATTTTATGTTTTTCTCTATACAAAAATTTAGAAAATCCAATTGAAAGCACCAAGAATTCCTCAGCTCCCCCACTTTTTAGTTCCATTGTCACACAGGCAGTGTAGAAAATCAGCTCTTGACTTACTTTTCACGCGCAGCCAGGTGCTCGCCGAATTCTCGCCCGCCTCGTTGATGGCCAAACACTGAAACATGGCGGCATCATCCAGGATTAGTTTCTTAATTACCAGCGTATTATCCGTGTTCAACGTGTATCTGCAATGGGATTTAATAGAATGGAATAATCGATAGAATCCCCAGACTCACCTTCCGCTTTCGATATGTGCATCCACCGATTCGGCATTCCTGAACCACTTGACCTGGGGCGTCGGCTCGCCAACCACATCGCAGGCTAGCTGCACCTGTCCACCGAATTCGCCAAAGGTTTCCGCTCGCATGGGTGTAAAGAATACAGGCGGTTCGAGGATTTGCAGATGAGCCGAAGCACTTACGGCCGGATAGCCACCACTGCGCAATCGCACCTGGCAGGTATATTCGCCCGAATGCGAGCTATTCGCCTGCAGCAGGGCCAGAGTTCGATTCCAGGGATCACTGAGAGTGTGCCTCACGCCGGCCGTTTCCACGGCAATGCCATCTTTCAGCCAGATAGTTTCCAATTCATGCAGAGGTCGGGCATTCGCAATGCACTGCAATTCCACCACTCCGGTTCCCATTTTAACTTTGACATCCTGCGGTGGCACTATGATCTCGGGTGCCACCTCGATATACGGATCTCCGCTGACATTTAGATGGACATAGGGGCTGCTCTCCTCCTTGCCCAACTGGGTATTTGTCGCCTTGGCCCGATAGCCCTTGCGATCGTTCTCATCCGCACTCAGGATAACCAACTGATTGGCCTGCGTGAAGGCGTACTTGATGTCATAGCTCAGGGGTCCATCCTCCGATTGCCACGTAACCGATGGCACGGGCACAGATTCAATGGCTGGCATATCGAATATGGCCGGATGACCACTGATCACAGTCAGTCGACCCTCGGTGGTGTTCTCAAAGATGCCCATGTCTGTGGAAAGAATCGGGATAAACAGATGGTTTTTTAAGATTTTTTATAATAATTATTATATAATTTTTTAGAGATAGGAAAACCCATCTACTGAAGTTCCAAAATAAGTGAAATTTTATAGCTCCCCCCGAAATAACTTATCAGGAATTAACTCCTCATTAGGAGCATAATAATTCCGTTTAGGTAACTGATATTCCTTGAATGAAGTTGTGGATCTGCTAACAGCGAAATCGAAGTAACCCCAATGCCGTGGCAACCCAGGAGAAGTGCTTTCTGTGCTCTGTGCCTTCCTGTGGTGTCATTCGCTAATTGAATTGAAGGCAACGCGCGCGGCCTGCGGGCAAGTCAATTTAACCTCTGACCCCGCTCTTAAGCAGCACCAACCCCCCACCCATCTCCAACCCCCCGCGCTAAGAACCACCCGGTTGAGCTTTAAAGGTTATTAGTTCAGTTTAAGCACGCCCTCCCTCACTCTCCCTCTCTTTCGCCGCCTCGGTCCTACAATTAATTAAGTGCTCAAGACGCTGCTGCTGCTGCTCCAAGTCATCCAGTCAACCAGTCGACGAGTCATTGAGTCAGTCTGTCAGTGAGCCACGCCCATCAGCCGCCCCCGGAAAAGAAGGTCACTGTAAAGGGGGGGAGGTTAGAGGTTGCTTATTCCCAGTGCTGTGGAGTACGTATAAATGTACCTAAATATCTACTAAATTATCATAAATACACAGAAATAGGGTAATTTTTACCTTATTTGATATCATAAAAAATCCGATATGATTAATGTAAACTTAATCATTTAAACTTATCAACTTGATATTTTATCATTTCATCAAAGTTATAAAATATAGTATTTTTTGAACAAATATTATAAAAAATGGTAAACATAATCTCTATTCACATCAAAATGATATGAGTAACTTGATTTTATTAACCTGCACATATCAATGTGATCTCTTGATAATTTTTTTCGTTTTCTTAGAATAACTTTAGAATAAACTACGATTTTAGGGAATTGAATCTATATTATATCATATCTTAACTTTGTACAAAATCCCTGTACCTATTCCCAACACTAAGCATAAGCGATGGCATAAGGGGTTCTCTCTTCATGGAGGTCGTTCTCATGTCGAGAGCTCGATTTATTAGGTTCAAGTAGTGGGGTAATAAGCACTCGCACACACGCACACATTCAGAGCGCAGAGCTCGAGTGTCACTCACACTTACTTGTCTAATTGTTCGTTACATCCACACCTACCCGGTGACCCTTAACCCTTACCCCTTAACCCCCTAGTCCCACCCTTCACTTCTTCACGTTCCGTTCTTGTTGTAATTAAGTTCGCATTAAAGAAAAATTAGCAGCTAAACATTTATCAGGGCTAGAGGGGCAGAGTCTTGGCTGCTGCTGTGACAGCCGTTTGATTAGTACTCCACCTAGAAACCCCCTTTCACCCGCCCATGACGCTCTCTTATATCAAGTTGGAAGTCTACACTTTTTCTGGCGCATGATTAACCCATTTGTTTGGGTGTTTTTACTTTTTTTTAGTTTTAGAAGTTTACCTTTAAATATATGATAATTATTAATATTTAAGCTTTTTTCTTAATAAGGGTTAATCCATAGTCGTCGGCTAGTTAATAAGGAATAATTAGCCGCAATAGGCCACCCTTGAATTTCTATAATTTCTCGTCTAATTGGTAACTCAATCTGTTGCCAACCCAAAATGGGTAAAAAAAAAATGGAATTATCCCGACAATATCTCAAATTTCCACGCCTTCAACTCGTATTTTTCCCAATTTTTCACCACTATTTCGATGATGATGATGCGGCATAATCGACATATAAGGACGTAAGGACTCTGACCCCCCGCCGCATGCGGAATATGCGGAATATGTACTTACAGGCAACGACAACGTCGCTCTTCTCGCTGAATATGGATCCGGCATCATTCCTGGCAATGCACTGATAGCTGCCCGCATCCTCGCGCCGAGTGCTGTGGAATCGGTAGAACTGGCTGGATGAGAAGTCGCCCACGGGGACGCCGTCCTTCAGCCATCGATATGTGGGCTGCGGGTATCCTGGAGATGCGAAATGAGCGAAATATAGAATGAGTAAGGAAAAGAGCAAAAGGGAAATGCTTTAATAAATATCATGTTGAGCTGGGGGAGTTGGGTGTGGGGTTTAAAGGGTATCTTTTATATATCATTAAACCCTGGCTTTTATTTGATTTGCGCTGACAAAGGCATCAGCCAATTGGCAGGGACGCGCTAAAAGGATTGATTACCATTCAATCACATATTATATTTAGATAATTTTCTTTCAAAAAAAAGAGGAATGTAAAAAAGGGTTTTAACTCTAATTAATTGTACTGTTCACTTAAATTAAATAGGCTTAAGTCTTATTAAGTGGTAAAGAAATTCCTCTTTTAAAAAATCGGAGTTAAAAGAAATATTTATCTTAATTATAAAAACCCCCAAATAAATTGCATTTAAATATGCATTTCCTTAAATCAATTACTTCTAATTGACATGGATTTTTTCTCTTATTGGGTAAATAGATTTAACCCCTGCAATCCCCGCCACTGTCGCAATTAAATCGCATGCTGGCCAAGTTTTTCTGCCATAAAGAGAGCTATAGATGGTGGGTGCGTGCCAGGAGCACAAAGGACACCCTTGTGGCCACATATGGCTTCATTTGTTTGAGCTGCCGCCCCAGAAAAGAAGCCAAAGACTCGAGAGCTCCAGAGATGGAGCCATGGATATATAGGGGTACTTGCTATATATATACAAAGTGCTCATTCTGATTTCATTGCTGCAGCCGAGCATTTAAATTAAAGTTGATTTATATGGCCACCAGGCAGCTCACCAGCTCACCATCCTAACCCACCCACCTGACCTCTTCTCTCAGGCGGCCCAAAACTCCCTTTGCGAAATGGAATTGCAATTGGAATGGCTAAACAAAAATTACATGTGACCAAAGGGGACGAAGGGACGAGGGGACGAAGGCGGCCGGGTCGGCTGAACTAAATGAAAGTCTGAATAAAATATGCGATTCGCCTAACTGGCCAGGATGCAACAGGATTGAGTGCACATCACATCACAGGATGGAGGCCACCGAACGGGAGCAGACGGATTGGATTGCCCGAGGCCGAAATCCGGTCATCAAGCCGACGGATGGGAAAAGGCATCGCCGTAACCCCACCCAAAATCCAAATCCAGGCGGGACCATCAACGCTTTTGCAAAGAGCTTAAGTCGGGGACTTGGACTCATCAAAGAATTGGGGTTGATGGCTGGGTGTTAGCTGGGCTGTAATCCTGAATACCCTGTGCTCGCAGCATATTGATTTATTTATTATTTTGTTATCTGCTCAAAACAATATGTCTTTTTGGTTTAGGAACCAATTTGGCCAAGTTACAGGCAAAAATATAAAAGGGAAAAATTCATATTTTTACCAAAAACCCAGATCCCAATTTTTTACGAAAAAAAATATTTTTTTGATCGAAACAATGGAAATAATGATCCAAATATGGATTGTCATACCTTTCTGAACTCGTTATTAAATTTCCCATCCATTGGCATCTAAACCTGGACATTTTATTTTTTGGCCATTTTTCGCAAAAAAATTATGATGTACCCCTTTATAAAAAAAATTAAAATTGGCGAAAATTTTATTTTTTTTAAATTACACGGAAAGTGTCATGAATTTATTTATTATTTTGTTATCTGTTTAAAACAGTCTGTATCTTTTGTGTAAGATTATTTTTGGCCAAGTTACAGCAAAAAAAAAACAGAAAGAAAAAATTCATATTTCTAAAAACTTATCATGAATACACTTGGGCACTTACAGGGTAGCATTAGGGTAGCCAAACGTGGCCAATGGCAATGCAATTCACTTCATTCAGTTTGCAAACAAAATCGAATTGAGCCGAGTTAGAAGCGAAACTGGAAACTACCAGCCGAGAATAGGAATCAACTTAAGAATAGAAAGATATAGGGGTGGAGAAAGAGCGGAGAAAGTGAGGGAAAACTGGGCTGGCGAAGAGCGGAGAAGACAGCCGAAGAAGCCCAGCAGCAGCCAAAAGTTTCTCAAGTGTTGGCCAAAAAAGAAGAGGAGAAAATACCCAAGGATAAGAAAGAGAGAAAAAAGTTACATGAACGGACCAAAAGGCAAAAGTCTATTTGAGCATTTTGGGCAATGACGCTGCTATAAAATTACAATTTGGGGAATTGTAAGGAAAATACACACAGACACACAAGGACGAACACTCACATGAACTCACACACTCACACATCAAAGTGCCGTTAGTCAACAGCAAAGAGAGTAAAAAAAAAGAAAAGGAGAAAAAAAGTCGAAGAAACAAACATTCTCCAGCGAAATGTGTCAGCGCTAAATCGAAGCGAAGGCCCAATAAGCGGAGAATCGGGGGAGAAAGAGACAGGAAGTACAGGGAAAGAAAGAGAGAGCAAGAGCAGGTCCCCGACGGACCCTTACCAGATAATACACTTTGAGAAACTTTCTAACTAAAAAATAATATTTAAATTATCTTAATTACGATAATTACAAATGTATATTAAAATAAAAACATTTTTTATATTATAAAATTAAATGGGCAATAAAAAGAAGGATTAATTTAAAGGGATTACTTTTTCCAATAATAAAATTCTAAAAAAAAAGTATTTTTTAGATAACATCCTTAGATTTCTTAGTAAAATTCCCCGATTTCTATCAGTGCTCGCACATGGCTCTGTGTCATTCAGTGTGTGTTCACATATGTGTGTAATGAGTTTTTAATAACTAAACTGACAAAAATCCTTTAAGCCCAAGCCATACAAAGTCACTGTCACTCCAAAAAAAAAAACCCTTGCACAAAGCAAAGAAAACTCAAGGCACGACAAAAAAAAAAAGAAAAAAGTATAAGGAAGGCTGAAGACCAATGAAAATAACCCAAGAAAAAGAAAGGGGGGATCCGAAAAAAAGAAGCTGAAATTTACATTCTCTTGGGAAGCGGCCAGAGTCAATCAGATAGTAAAGACGGGAAGAAGACTCTGGTAAACCGAAGGCCAAATGGAATTGACAGAGCGCAAAATTCATTAAAAAGGAAACAAATTTCATTTTCTAGGGCCCAAGACTTTAAGCCAAGTTTATCAAAGGAAAATGAATCGAAAATTGTAGGAAAAATGTAAACTTAAATGAAATGCCAACATTCAATCACTTAAACCGCTTGGCAAAGCTGTCTTTATCGCTTTTGCCGCGCCAGTTCCATAAAATAGCGATTTTCTTTGCCGCCCATAAAAGTGTGCTACTCTTTTTTTTCTTCATTTTACTTAGTAAAACCGGCAACAAGTCATCACCATATTTCCGTGGCTTTTTCTTTGCGGCTTGCCACACAGCAGCCAAATGCCACTCACTCAATCAGCCAGCCAGCCATCCAGCCTGGCAGGCAGTCAGTCAATCAGTTAGTCAATCAATCAATCAATCAGTCAGTGTGTCTAAGCAAGCCCAACTGCATATAAATAAATTCAATAAACAGGCGACGCAATGCAACAAATTGCATTTGTATGTTGTGTATGTATGTGAAATGGGGGAATCCCCGGTTCCGCATAGCGGAAATTGTTTGATTTGTGGCCAGAGCGCAAACCCATCGAAACATCGAAAGCTCCACGAAATCAATTGCATTTAAGAACAGGGCATGGGCATTGGGCATTGGGAGTTGGGAGTTGCTAGGATATGGGTTCTAGGATGTATGGGATGGATGGGGAAACGGAAGAGGAACGAACGAGCACCGGCATTCATAACTCCAACTCCGGACCCTCGGTGTTTGTCAAGCGCACTCTTTACAGGGCGAGGGCGCCCCCGAAAGTCCATTTGCCAATTCGTCAACTTGGACTCTCGGCCCCAGAGATTTGGGGTCCTGGGTTATCCTGGCCTAAGCACAGAAACCAGGAACGAGAACCGAAAACCCCATTCCTTTGTGATGCCAGTCAGTTTTTCAATGGATTTCATTCGAAGGGCACACAGGAAAAAAATATGATATGAAATAGGATCAATTCTACCTTATTTCATATCAATAAAAGCCAATATGACTTATGTCAAATCTAACCTTTATTTAAATCAAAATGACATGAATACCTTGATCTTAAAAAAAATAAAATATTGACCACCAAATATCTAACTGATCTTTTGTCAATTTTTTTTCTGTGCAAGAGAAGCGTTTATTAAACAAGTCTTTAAAGGATTTCCGATTATTTAAGTTAGGTGCAACAACAAATGCTTCCGTTAGCTCCTTTGCATTTAACGTTTGTAACTAATTAACACGACACGCAGTCAAGCACACACATTGTACATATTTTAAATGCCGGGAATTTATGTGATTTATTTTAAAGCTTTCGGGATAAATGAGTTATATTAATATAGATTAATTCAATTAATTTCCCTGTGTTCTGTTTTAAATTAACAGAATATCTGTGTTCGCCTCATTGGCAAAATTCCAACCAATTTGAAAGTTTACTTAAATGTATATAAATCGTTATGCATACTGCATGATTTGCTGCAATTTGTCGGTGCAACTTTTTGTATACATATATATTGTATGTTTTTCCTCTTCATTATTTTACACGTGTTTCCTCAGCTTGTCTTACACAATTTTAATTTGCCTTCAGTTTTCGGTGGTCGCTCCTCCGTCTATCTGCCTCTCTTTCCATCTCAAGCTACTGCCTAGCTACTGTCTGTCTCGCTCTACGTATTCTCTATTTTTGTTATTCTGTGGCAACACTGGCACATGTTTGTTAAATTATGCACAGTGCAATGCGCTGACGCCTTTGGACCTAGACAACAAACTACTACACAAAGAGAAATATTTTGAAAGGAAAAAAAATTGAGGGAAAACAAACTTTGTAGGTTATGGTGGGTTTTGAACCTGGTCCAATTCATTAACCTCCTTGGGGTTTTACTATTTCATTTCGGTTTAAAAAATTAAAAAAAAAAAACAGGGAAAATATAGTTCACGGTGGGGTTTGAACCTGGCTCCTTTATAAAACAACCTACATTAAGTATATTTTTTTTGAGAAATTCAAAAGGCTTATTTATTTTCTTTCCGTGTACTTTTTCTCTGCTTTGGCCAGGTGAGTTTAAATGCATGTGGAGTAATTTCTGGTGTTTTTGTTGTGGCACTTAAAGCGAAGTAAACTTTAAAAGTGCCTAAAAGGCTTTTTTACCTTTGTCTTGCCTCTTGTGGCTGTTGCACTTTTTAACTGCACATTTCACTTTTATGCATTTGCTGCCTTTGTTTACACATTTTGTTAGTCTCTCTCACTCGCCTCTTTTCCATGCATTTTAGTTTTCCACTCACACCGCAAAATAACAACAATAACACTGGGCCAAATTGGTTGTTTAAAGAAATTTACTTGCCACCATGTGCAGGGTGCACTTGGAAAAATAAGGGTTCTCAAATCTTATAGGGTGCTAGAGAAATTTAAAATTTATGTGAAATTTAGTATTAAAAAAAAAGTCTGAAACTCTGAGTTTTCAGTAACAGTTGTATTCTTTTAAATATCATTAAACTGGCTTTTAAAGGGATATCAATACTTTGTATGTCGCAAATAAATACGGAAGTCATTTGCCGACTGCTTTCTTTTCTTTTTCCAGGTATTTACGCAATTTTTTCATTAACTGTATGGCTTTTTTTTTGTGCTGCTGCCGGAGGGAGGCGTTTGTCTTTAAGTAAACACAATATCCTTGTTGCTTTCTATCATTTCGCATCAGTCTCCGTTTCAGGAATACTTTCGGTGCTGAGGCCTGTACATACATCTGTACATACGTACATATATATAGACTTGCATATATCGCATTCTTTCTTCACAACACATTAAGCAAAGCCATCCACTTCAGCCTAAATGACGACACGAGTTGCATATATAGGCATATCGCTTATTCTTTCTCTGGGCCCCGTGTCGTCTCTTTCTCCGCCACCTTTTCTGTCTCTTTCTGCGAGTAAACAAGAGGATTTACGGCAGGAGGAAAAAAAATAAGGAAAGCGGGAAACAGAGTAAAAAAAAAAATAATAAAAAAAACATTGCGACAAAAAGCTGGAAACAACAAAAACAATTGTTTGCAATTTTTCAGCTTACCTTCTTCTGCTTCTTATAGTGTTCTTCTCTCACACTATTTTTTCTGCAGCAGAAGAAAAGGCGAAAAATAGGAGAAAAGTGCACGGAGAAAAAATGTAGATGATTTTAGAATTAATATGGAATTTTCTATAATCACTACACCATAAGAGGGATTTGAACTTTGGCTTTAATGGCCGAAGAGATGCCAATTAGGGATACTGATATATCTTTTCTTTCTCTGTAAAGAACGTAGAAGAAGGATTTTTAACGACGCACGTTTCTGGCCAGTGTGTGTGTCTCCAAACTGTTCTTCAAAACCCTTTCCTCTTCTTTGCTTTCTTCAACTTCAACAAATGCGTTTCTTTTTTGTCTCTGTCCTTCTTTGTTGCCCCCTCCTTGTTCGACACATGTTGGGCTTGCAGCATTGCCACTGAAAACAGCTTTGGCGGCTTTTGTTGTTGCCATAAAAAAAGTCTTTGTTGCAAGTGAATGCGCTACATTTGCGAGGCAGCCAAAGAAGTAGAAGAAGAAGAAGCTGAAGAAGTAGTAGAAGCCCCATATTCCCTTTCTCACTCTATATAAACTATTCGCCAACCCAACACCACCTCATCGCATTTCATTTTGTTGGCCAGAAACAATTCCACACACATTTTGCTTAGCTTTTATACTGTCATTATGCCCCTGAAGTTTCACCAATGGGGTATATTAGTTGGGATTAAATATACGTCCAAGTTACTTGGGGCTGTACTTTTCTAAGTACTTACATACCGAACCCTGTTGATCTTGATCTTCTACAATCTACAAATTCAAAAGGTTTCATATCCCTTAAATATTTATTACAATAGTTCTCATTTTTAGAAAGTTTTTACCATCTATAAATTTCAACTCATAGATCTGACTATCCCATAGTATAGTTAAATTCTTCTCGAAAAATTGAAATTCGTAGATCCTAAGTTTAGGTTATTTTTATAGGGCATACTCATAGTTTTAACCCATAGTTCCCACTTCCTGGACTATTCTTGTGTTGTTTTCACGATTGTCGCGACACAAAACGCGAACAAACGTAAAGCTGAGCCAAGATGAGACAGCTATAGAAGAAAGAGTAGAGACATGACGAGGGGAGGAGGAGGGGAAATGAGATGGAGAGAGTGATGGTAGAACTTGTTTTACTTGAGAGTCCCTCCATGGTCACAACCAAAACACTAAAAAGGTAGGAGGCAAATTTCCTCATAGGGAGTAAGTCCCCTATTTTTTGTTTTTTCTAGCCATAAACTATCTTGGAGCCTGAGAGAGAGAAGAGGAGGCGAGAGGGAAGAGTGTGCGAAAGGGAAAGGGAGACGAAATGACAGCTAAAACCGCCAAAGTGACTGAAAGCGCGAACGTTGCGGCATGTGTGACAACGCCAAAGAGCAGCTAAAGAGATTTGCATTTGTTTTTATTTTCCTCCTCTACTCGCTATATTTTTTTTTGCTTTCTTTTTTTTTCCCCTATATTTTTTGTATTTTTTGGTGCCCACTTGCAGCTTATGCAAAGTGCACGGCTCTCGGGTGTCGTTGCATAGATCCCCATAAATGCGGACGAAAAAAACAGATACCACCGTGTGTGTGTGTTGTGTGTTTGCTGCTCAAATGTGCATCAAAATGCTGACGACAACCCAAGGCATTGGGGATTCCCCCTGCCCTCTGAAAAGGCCAAAAAACCAACTGCGATTATGCCTGAAATCCCACACAAAACAGTTATTTTAGAACGGTTTCTGCGGAAAGTGGAAGTCTCCCTATTTTACTTTAAGTGAATTGATGTTTGACAACTATTTTGACTTTATTTCAGTATAATTTAATTAATAACATTTAACGTTATCCAATATTCGTCTTTTAAATTTGCGTGGCTCAAAGGTTAACTGCTTACATCAGTTTATAATCGGGGTCACCAGTCTCCAGCCGAAAAAGTTTGCCTCCACCAAATCCCGCCTCTAAAACATTTCCCCGTTAGCCGTAATTTGCCAATTAAGACACAACAAACAATGCATACATATATCCCACCCCAAGAGTCTGGACATTTCACGACTAATTTTGCGAATCCGGCCGCCATAAAACACAAGTCCGGACTTCGAGGAAAACGGACGGAGACGAGCGCACGTGGACGTGGTGGAAAGACCCAAAAAAAAAAAGGAAGATAGGAAGTTAACTTTGGAAACCCCAAGTTTACATACCCTTGCAAAAATAACAAACATGGAGAAGAAGTTATAAATAAATATTTATAAAATATTATAAAATAAATACCTTTTGTTCTTATATTTTTTCTTTATTTAAAGTTTTAAACTTATACCTAGAATATATCTACTTTGCATACTTGCTAATAAAATTTAAATAGCCTTTGAAAGGGTATACGCTACAAGGCCGAAGGACACAGGCGGCCAGCCTAAAGTAAGTTCATAACATTTCTTTTTCGGGGGGAGAACAATATGAAACCGATACTCGAAACTGTCAAATGCAGGCTATGTGGGTGTAAGTGGGCGGGGGAAGCATTACGTGTACCTGGGAACTGGGATCTGGGGAACCTGGGGATCCTGGGACTCTGGACTTTGGGCACGCCCTAAAGCGCTCAAAGGATTACACGACGGTCGCCTGGGAATGAAAGTGGGTGTGGAATCGGGATTGTGGGACTGTGCGATTCGCGCAAAAGGCAAGGAGTCTCAGCTGGGGGGAAACCTCATAAAAGTTATTGTTTTTCTACTTCATTATCTTTCAAAAGCGCGCACGAGCACAGGAGCAAGAAAAAACAAGAAGAAAAAAAAGAGTGTTTTCGTTTATGGTTTCGTTTTACACTAAGCCCCCTCTTTTGCTTTCAGCTTAGCTGTCAGGCGTTTTGAGGGACAAGTGTTGTGTGTGTTTTTGGAAGCCGAAAGGACAGCGAAAGGGGGTGATGAACCCCTGGCCCCTCACCCCCAACGGAGGTATTATAATTCCCCTCACGGTGGTGGGCATTTAGGTTTGACACGCCTAGCAGGTGGCACCTCGCAATCCCCGGACATAATAAAATGTGTTTATAGAGGATTATTATACAAATTGAAATTTGGTTTTGTCAACAAACTATTAATCATTAACTGATTTTGTTGGGAAGGTTTTGGTGGTTTATTTAAGATTTAATGAGGGTTCTTGTTTATGCAAAAATTTAATTTAACTTTTGAGACAAGAATCCTTCTACGGAAAAGTTTACAATTTTAAAACTAGTTTTATACACAGAAAAAAAATGGTCAAAATATCAGATTGATATGTGCAGGTTAATCTAATATTTTTTTAAGATAAATATATAAAAAAGGATTATGTTAATCGCATTTTACAATATTTATTCAAAAAATCTTAAATTTGGTATTTTGAAACTGTATTTTTACAACTTTTATGAAATGATAAAATATCAAACTGATATGTTTGCATCATAAATAAAACATTAGTCATATCGATTTTTAAGTAAATTATTTCCATTATTTACTTTAAATTCTAGAAAGGTTTCTGGGCCACTGAGATTATTCTTACGATTGGAATTTCGTCGGAAGATGATACATATCAGGGGTGTTACGAGCGTCGTCTCTGGGACTCTGGGGCTTTCTCTTCTTAGTCATACTATGATATCATGTTCGTCAACTTACCCAGCGCATGACACTGTAGTATCTTGGTGCTGCCCTCGCTGACAATCGACCCCGATGCCGATGGATGCGTGGTGAATCGTGGGGCCTGCAGCTGCTGCTGCTGGACAAGCTGATTCTGGTTCTGCTGCTGCGGCTGTGGATTGGCATCTGCAATAAGACAATAAGGGACACTTTTAGTTTATGTTTAGGGCACTCAAGGAATTTAATTATGCGGTTCACTGAAGTACGAGTAAGCTAAGCTGCATCCAACAAGTGCAATAAGTAAGTAATAAACAAGAATGTTCCATCATTTTGCACAGACAATATTTAAATCCGCAATCAAGGCACGATAAAACCGTGCCCTGAATCGAACATTAACCGGATTTACTTAAAAGCTTCGCACCCCAAAACGTTTCAGAGGGCCGATTTGTACAGCTTTAGCATAAAACCAAAAGGCTTAAAGATGAAAATGTTTGATTTATGGCAGTTCAGAGAGCGGGGCAAAAAAGCGGAGCGGAAAATCCGTACATCATACAACCTGAACTCGGCATTCATATATACATATAACCAATCCGTAACCGTATCCATATCCCGATACCATCCACCCACAACCCCAAAACAGGCGAGATCGATTGCACTTGCATTTTATTTCCCATTTCTGGGGGATTTTTTTTTCGGTTTTGGTTTGGACAAAAGTAAGAGGTTGCTGCAGGAACTACAACAATATGGTGCAGAGAACAACAATAAATTGCAGCTTTAATAAATAAAAACATTCGCATATTATTTCATTTTGCGTAAAAAATATTAAAACACATTTCCGTTCTTGTTCATCTATTTTTTTTATTTGCATTTTTATTTAATTTGCCCACGCAAATCGAACCCAAAACTGAAATCGAGAAGCCCAGGGAAATGAAACAAAAGCAAAAGGAGTCGGGAATATAGAAGGGCGAACAAATCGAATGTCCAATGCTCTTTGGTGCGAAATTCAAATCTAGTAGTTATAACATAAAACCGAAATATATTTGATTATTTTCTAAGAGTCACCATTTAGTGTAAGGGAAAATATTTTTAATTATAACATTTTCGATATTTTCTAGAAGTTTCACTTTCACAGAGAATTGATGATACCCACAATAATTGCAGCACTGTTATTCCAACCTTACAACTTTCCATTCTCCTCGTATTATGAATATTTTGTTGTTCTCACTGGTTTGTGGGATTATAAATTCGTTTTCAATGCAAACAGAGACTGCCATATTTTACACTTTTATTTTTTCTTTTTTTTCCCCCTTTTTTTTGGGACAATATATATGTAGTTGAGTAAATTATTTTCATAAATATTTGCCATTTGTATGCATAGATACTATGCTACATGGTGTAACAATGATATCAAGAGCAATTATCAAAGGAGGTAAAATCGGCATTCATCGAGGCATTCGACACCAAAAAGAAACTCGTTTGTGTGCCTCTGTTTGTGTTTGTGCGTAGTGCCGAAGCTCCGATTGGTGGTGAGTAAATTATTCAGGATATAGAATAACATATGCATGAGATACGGGGCTGCATACGTTTTCGGCTACCAATAAATACAATTTAATTGGCATGCGAATGTAACATTCCAGTGGCAAAGCATCAAAGGGAAGCTTGATTTTATGGGCCGTGAACAATTTGGTCCTTCGAGCACTGCGGTAGTGTGTACTACCAACCACAAGTTGGACCCAATGTATACTAATTAGCTGGCACTGAATGATTTCTGATATATATTTAATTAAACTTGTGTCCTAAGACAGAGGAACGGATGTGTTAATTATCATAGGTTATTCTCTTGGTTTCCAATTAATGTTGGTCAGTTAAAAACAAACAGAAACTAGTTTCGCAACCAATCGATTTGGTTCTCAAGTACAACTGTACTTCGAGTGTTGACAGCTCGTAGAAAACAATCTGGAAACCGCTAAGGATGCCAATCAATTGGTCAAATGCAGCTTTTTGCACCCCTTGATCGTTGTCGTTCCAACGTGCGAATAATGCCGATTTCCATAGTGATGCTGGTGATTATTATCGTCGTGATGATTATGATGACGATGTTGATGGCCAGGTGATGATGTTTCCGTTTGTCCCGGTGTTGGTAAGTGTGCAAGTGTGTGTGTGTGTGTGTTGCCACTTGGCTGTTGACTGTTGGCCATCGCCTAGTTGTTCTAGTTGTTGAGCCCTTGTTTGGTTTCAGCCCGAGTCAATGACGCTTTTGCCACAGGCCACCGCCACCGACGCCCCGGAGGCGTTGACATGATGACCAACCTCCTAAGGCACTGAGACAAATGAAAACCTCTGGATTTTAAAATCAATTTCTGGGTCCTCAAATCTCTAATGCAGGTGTCTAAAAGTATGCTGTGAAAAACGGAACATCACTTTTTGAGTAATGAGTTTAAAATATATGGTTGCATACTTTTAGACACCTTTATAAAAAATACTTTTTGAATAGATACAAGCAAATCAATTGCAATTATATTTTGTCAATTTAATGTAATTAATTTATGAAGGTTTTGCCATATAACTAGCATAAAGTTCATAAATGTTTATAAAATATTTATCTATTCTAATTAAGTATTACTCTTCACAACTTTCTCTCTGTGCTCTTCTGGTAGTTGGCCCACTCCCAGTTGTCCTGCTGCCATCAAACAAAGCAGGCGTTAAATTGCCATCATTGGGGGGGTGGACATGGCTATGGCAAAAGGGTTTTCGGGGTTGCGGGGCTCGGTTGATGAGTTGCATGAGCACAGGGAGTGGGAAATCGAGGCGAGGTGCATTGGCAGCCATGGAATCTCCACGTGGCTGTCTCTGGCACGCTCTTTGCCGTACGGGTTTGCTTTGCTTCGGTCAGGGTTTGGCTATATGGATTTTCCCTGCCCCCTTCCCTACTCCGTGCCCCCCGAAACTTCTCCCTTTGGCTTTTGTGGTTTTCTGCGCATGCGCAGCCCACCGCGAATTCCATTTTGCATGGCTTCTCCACATATATCGGACATTTGATATGCTGCTGTGGCAGTCGGACAACCTTCTTCATGCTGCTTCTTATGCACACAGACCCTGATGCTGACCCTCCTTCTCCCCGGGTGACAAAACTAAATGTGCACAGAAAAAAAGGCAGTGATCAAACTCTAAAGTTCCACACACTCCTCCAAATGTAGTTCAAACTACCTAGTTCTTAGTAAATGCTTTCCTAAAAAATAAATACTTGTTTAAATATGATATTTCGGGAATTATTAAAAAGCCTTAGGTCTCAAAAAATATTAATTGCATTGACTTACAGTTTCCTTTTTATTCAAAAGTGAAGGTAACCTCAACATATCAAAACTCTACGTTTTTTTCCAAAAGCAGCTGTCTGTTTTTAGTGATGCGCTCAATTTGCAACACGCACTCAAGTGCTGCAGGCCGACAGGAAACTGTGTCAGTGCCCAAACTCCCCAACTCCCAGCAACATGCAACATGCAACACATGCTGCCTGCTGCATGCAGCATTTGCAGCCACTAAAGCAAACCCGCAGCAGCAGCATCCTCGGCTTTTGTTGCTGCATTTGTTTGCCCAATGATGCAAAACACACACACACACACAAACACTCAGTCGGTTGCAATCCCTCACAGGACACCCAAGTAACTTCCTCATGCGGCAAGGCAACTCAAGTTAATGATAAAACAGACACATGCTGCTAATGTTGGGCTGTGGCAATCGGGTTCAAGTGGGCGTGCTTCTGGGTGGTCACCGGGGTCAGGTCGCCGCCTCCTTGGTGACGGAGGAAAAGACCCTAAAACACACACATTACACTTGAATCTGATATCCTTTTCGCATGAGGGATAAACTAAAGATGAGTTGTGGGAAGCTGCAAGATACGAAAACGTTTTTAGGGGAAGCTATTTGAAATGCCTCAAGATCCGGGTTAATATCCCCATCCACATGCACAGGGCTTTGTTCTGAAGTTTTACTGGACATGCTTTGGTAATATTTGTACATCTTACCTATACACAGAAAAAAATTGACAAAAGATCAAATTGATATGTGCAAGTTAATTTAGTATTTAGATCAACTTATTCATATCATTTTGATATGAATAAAGCTTATGTTTGTCTTATTTTACAGAATTTGTTCAAAAAATACTACATTTTGTATTTTAAAAGAGTATTTTTATAACTTTTGTGAAAATATAAAATATCAAGTTGATATGTTTGAATCATAAATTTGGCATTAATCATATCGATTTTTTCTTCTGTCCAGAATTCGCTTGCATTAATATTTTCTATTGAAATATAAATGCCCTTCCTGATTGCTATTTTCATAACCACTCAGAATTACAGTTTTCCAAAAAATCCAAGCCGTTACTACTCCAATTTCCACTTGAGAATGTATTTCCCGCCAAGGTTTTCCCTTTCGTTGGAATTATCCCATCCAAATCTGAAACATTGATGACTCACACAGGCCATAGATCAAGTTACATGGCAGTTTGTTTCGGTCTCGGTTTCGTTGGCTGTTTTTTAAAGCGTTTCCAGAATGCCCACCAGCTCGTTTGCCTAACCGTCAATCATTCCATTTCAACTATATGACCCGGGGAATTTATCCAAACCCCATTCCATTCCATTCCATACCGTTCTGCATTCAACTTTCGAGAGTCTCTCAACTAATTTTCATGTTGTCTGCACGCGGGACACGGCACATCAATCAAACTTTAACCCGCACAAACAATTCAACTTGATTTCCTTGGGTTGGCTTTTCCCCAGACTTCCTCCCTCGTTTCTGACACTTTTTAACCCACATACTTATATCGTATACATCATTTCACGGGCTAAGAAAAATAGTTTCCAGAATGCTAAACTTACAAGTGTAAATAAATTATACTAGGTGGCAACTTTTGGCCAACATTCTCTAGAAACTTTTGGCGGCTTTTCGAGATTCACAAGTTTGTGCCGGAAAATATTTACATCACAGAGAAGCGTGAAGTGAAATATTCTATGATTGAATTGAATGTACACTTAAAGTTTCTTAAATTTGTAGATGTACTTTAAATAAGGGATTATTAAATACTTATTTTTAAAAATAAACCAAAAACATTATATTGTTCAATTATTATCATTTCCCACTTTTCCGAAATATACCATATTTCCGAGGGGTAGCCTCCTCGTAACGCCCCTATATATACATGTTAATGATCACATTCAAGTTGCCTTCAAATTTAGAAAAAAGAACAAAGGGACTGGGGATTAAGGGAACCAAAGATAAATGGGCAGCAAATTTTCAATAATAATAAAAACGTTCACCCCGAAATAGTTTCGAGGGGGAGGAAAATTTTCAGTAATTATAGACATCAACTGAAGTGCGGGGTATAAATTTTTCCCCGGGGGTTGTGGGAGATTTCCCGAGTCAAGAAGCGAATAATTTATACAAAAAAAGTAGCCGGCAGGGAAAACTCCTCCCAAAAAAAAACCCCTCTGTTCACCCGGCTAAAACCACATGTGACGACTTAAATTACTTTAAAGCGTGCTGCTTGTGGGCAAGAAAGAGATGAATAGTTGAGAAGGGAAAGAGACAGCAAGGAAAAGAGAGAGAGAGAAAGAGAGTGGCAATTGCTTTGTTCTTCATATATTCCCAGAGTTGAAACTATGAAAACATGGAATTACTGCTGGCTTTTGGGACCGAGGCTTCCAACTACGCTCACAGAAGGAAGAACAAAAATTAATTGTAGAAAAATAAAAAAAAATTCATTTACCAAAGTTCTGGTTTTGTTATCTCAAGGGGCAGTATTATTTTCCAGCATATTCTTGTGTGTTTTTTTCCTAAGCTAAAATGAAATACAAATCCCTAGTTGTTAAATATCTGGTAAATAATCTTCAATCGAAAGTATTTTTAATAAATCCAAGGGTATTTAAAAATGAAGAAACAACTGTCATTCCGTTTTTATTTCATTTCCTTGTTTTGTCCAGCTGACATTTTTGTCGTTTATCAAAAGGAGTTACCCCAAACACCCCACAAATAGTTCCCTATTTCACGCGATAGTTTTATCTTTTCTCCCCTACTTTTTCCTCCTCATTTTCCAACATCCCCTTAGTTTTCCTGGCCAGCAGCCGTCGTTGACACGTCTCATAAATTTCATTGCTGTCGCTGGTCCGTCGCCTAATCCGCGTTCTCCCTCTCCCTCTCGCTCACGCCCGCAGTGTGTCGCCCCGTCCTTGTCTGTCTGTCGTGTCACGTGAGAAATTGCACTTATCACTTGTCCTGTTCTATTTGGTTTCATTTTTTTTTTTTTTTTTTTGTATTTTTTCTTATTTTGCCCTCTCATTCCCGTCTTAAATTCATTCCGTGATTTTCACTTTAATCCTTTGCGGCACCGTTTACGCACGTAAACTGCACAATGGGGTTTAAAACTGTGGCCAGCGAAACAGGGGTTAAATGGGGGCCTAGGCCAGGCTACGGGTTAAGAGGTAGGTGGTGCCCAAGAGAATTAAGACATTATTCAAACACTAATTCCCCGGCTCAACTGACTTTGAACTATTGTATATTGGCCGACAAATACAAGAAAAAACCATTCCGGAATCAATGAAGCCAGCAGCCAAAAGACGATCAACTTGAAAATTCCCAGGGGCGTGGGTTGGGTGAAATTTTCTGGGGGGCGGGTGTATGCCGGGGGCCGGAGGCTTATTGAATCCCTGCAAAAGTTTCGAATGCGACAAATGGCCAAACTGAGAGACTAAACAACAATGGAGGCACAGGGAGTGTGGTAGCAAAACTATTAAAATGACATTTCGGAAAATTCTTGGCACTCTGCGGGAAAAGTGGGGGGCGGAAAAGGGGAAGTTAGCTAAGCACATTTCGATGCCAAAATGTTTGCCACTAGAAACAGAATTAACTGAACGGAATTTGTAAAAAGGAAAGCTAAAAGATTAAAATTAAATAAAATTATAAATTGTAAATTATTTGCTTTATAAACATTAATTTTTTTTTTTAATATTTATCTTTAAAAGAAAAAATACATTAATCTTGCATTGCATTTGATTGATT